TAATATTAATAAGCTACGCGTATAAAAGTAAAATAAATATAATTAATAAGAACATATAGCTTATATTTAACTTACCTTAATAAATAAAAGGTTAATAAGCTAGCTTTTAATTAATAAAAGATTATATTAATTAAAACGTTAAGAAAAGGTAAGGTATACGTAATTAAGCTTATAATTACACTCTTAACGCTTAAGTAAGTATTTAAATAAGAAAAATAATACTTATAATAGCTTTAATAATAGGCTTAATTAAAAGGTATATTAAAATAAGTTACTTATTATAAGTATAAATTACATACGTATAATTAAATAAGGGTAAACCCTTAACTATAAGTAAATAACCCTAATAATAAGCGCACTTATAAAAAGAGTATATACGATTCTCTCTTTTATAGCTAAACATAGACTTGTATATATACATTATCGTTATAATTGGTGCCCTTTAAAGTGTGACAATAACTGTCGCGTATCGCGCATCTAGCCGCGCGTCTGTATACGCTTAAATAACTACGATTAGCGCAAGTATTAGACGCGTAAAAGCGTTCTAGGCTAAGCAAAGGATGATTACCTTTTTAAACACAAGCCCTCCCATGGAATGAGCTACAAAGATTATAGGAACCTGCGCCGAAATTGTCATGAGCGTGATAGCAAGACACATGAGGCTGCCAATTGATCGAATATACCTCGCTAAGGTGCAGGTGGCCCCCTCAGAGATCTCTGGCAAAGATCATATCATAAAGAAGATTTTTGGAGAAGCCGCTGATGCCCAGTGCTGAGCTCTGACTTGAGGAGCGAAACTGAGCGTTATATCCGAAGGTGAATATCCGGGCGTGATGCAGGTCTTCGTCTTTTGGTAACCACTCACGTGGCCAAAATATGTCCAGCCTCCGGCTCTTACACCATGTCATCCTACTAGAGCCTCCGGGGCCGTGGATAAGCATGATGTCTGCAGTTTGTTTCTCCTTGGGTGTATATACAATAGATAATCCTAAAGGATCCGAACCTCGGTCTGTCGTATGGAAGGCGGAAACATCGGATCCAGTGTCAGGAGTCGACATGGACCTGTGGGCAGGAGATGTGCTGGCTGAGTCATATTGGTATGTGGTCCCGCCGCGGGCATCAACTCCTACATATACACTCTGGGATCCTTCGGATAGGTGACGGGTCGGTGTGGAGGCCTAGCAACATACGTCGCGTATAGAGCTTCCGCGAGAACTGTACCAGAAAATATATGTTAGCTTGCCGAGGACCGCAATCTGTGATCTATGCCAGGGGAGACTTGGCTTTGCAACGTGGCTAAACTTACCATGATGGGACCATTTCCAGTACTAACACTGACCGTGCTCCAAATTTCTCGTCCAAGTCAAATGGCGGCCCAACGACATCGCGTGGGCACCAAGCGATGTCAGCAATTTGTGAATCCCGCATCTCGTGAGATTACGAGGAGCGCAGGGAGTAGTTCATCAGGTAGTTTTTCCGTGCCAATCAAGGCTGCAGCAACGCGCAGGGATAACCAGCAAGCCGGAATGGCTTGTCAACCTAACCGCACGTCAATAGAGACGAAGCCAGCAAACGCTGCCGAGTGGAGCGCATGTTGAGTGTACGGAGTAAGTCTTTTGCCCAATACGTGTTAAATGGCTTCGCTGACATTTGCTAACATTGAAATACATACTAAAACATGGTTGCTACGAAACACGTCAAGATCATCCACTATGCCATGCCATCATCACCGCCTGCTATTCACCTTGCTGAAGGTTATTCCTTTCCGGAGCATCAGAAATGTCGGGGCAATACTTCCGAAGCAGAAAAACAAAATCATCGAAAGCCCCCGGCACGTTAGCAAACACTGTCCATAACAAGAAGGCAGGGCAATGTACATACTGCTGTCGGGCAGGTGACCCTGCGATACATGCCGAGTGCATGAAGTTCAATTTGGCGCTGTACAGGCGATTTCTATCGTCCCATTCTTCCTCGGGCTCACTGGGCTCCATGTTTCGCAGGTACTCTCGCCTGTAGACCTTTGAGCGCAACTGGTGCCTTTCCGCGCGCCAGATGCCCGGGTCCATTTCGTCATGACCGTAATACGCAGCGCAGTCAAAGATCCAAGGATTGCTCATTCTAGCTTCAGTACCTATGTTTCTGTCCCACATGTCGCCGTGAATGAGCACCGGCTTGACCTTGCGTCCATCGGTCTCAAGTGCTCCAATAAGTCTAAGGATAAGTTGGGACTGAACTTTGAGGTACACGGCGTCCAATTCCGGCCACGGCCCGTTCGTCTCCATTTCCTGGCGGTAAGCTTCAGCGAGAAGCTTAGAGAAGAACGATGTCCAGCTCGGGTCCAAGCCGACTGCCTGCAGACGCGCCCCGTCAAATGTTCGAATCGGAAATCCAAACTAGCCTGTTGGAGAGGAACTGTTCTTGTGCATTGCCGCCACACGCTCGCCCAGATTGATGGGGTCCGGCAGAACAGGAGTAAAGTCTTTGAACTCCACCAGCAGGAAGTGACTTGATGGAACTACACTCTTCAGGATTCCCCATCCGACCGGCCGAGGAACAAACGTCGGGGCGGCTTTGTGAAGCTCTGTCATGCTTCTACCCCGCCATCGACGCCATATCCAAGGACCTCCATGTCACGGTTGGACTTGTCAATCCAGCTGTAACTACTTACATGATTGTCTCGGGCCTTGTTCCCACCTTAATGGGGAGTGCCGCCGACAAATTCGGAAGGCGGCCGATATACACACTCGCTCTCTCCGTGTACTTCGCAGCCGACCTCGGCCTGGCATTGCAAGATACATATGTCGGTCTTTTACTCTCCGAATGCTCAGAGCGCCGGCAGTTCCGGTTTGTTGCCTTATTTCACCCACCCCTTTTTGTCATGTCTAAACGCTGGGTGCTCTGCTGATGCACCCGTGCACCACAGGCACTATATCTCTTGGGTACGGAGTTCTCTCCGACATCACTACCCGCTCTGAAAGAGGATCCTACGCTGGCATCTCTCTTCTAGGGTGGATATCCTGCTGATACAGCCCGAAATCATGCGTGTGGCTAATCGAATAGCCAACAATAGGCCCAACGTCGCCCCTCCTGTTGGTCCCGTTTTGGGAGGTATTCTTACTGCAAAGCTTGGATGGAAATGGATATTCTGTATGCTCTGTATCCTGGGAGGTTCTTGCCTAGCTTTAATATTGCTATCACTGCCAGAAACTTCTCGTGTGATTGTTGGTAACGGGAGCATAGCGCCTAAAGGAATCTACCTTACCCTCTTCTCCGTTATTGCAAGGAATAAAAAGGGCAAGAGTAGTGGGAGTCACAGTCTTGACGACAGCACGAACATGGCCCTGTCCGTAGAACATGGACCCAAGTTCACTTTGCCCAATCCACTGAACTGCCTCAAAGTGCTTCTTTGGAAGGATGTGGCTGTGATTTTATCATGCAATGGAATTTATTACATGATCTACTGCAGCATCAAGGCGTCCCTTTCGACACTTTTCATTGAAATATATCATTACGAAAGCCTGGGGCTAGGTCTCATCTACATGCCATTTGGTATTGCCTGCCTCGCCGGAACATTCATATGGGGTCGGTAAAATATCCCACCTATTCTGAAGCCTACTACTAAGATTATTCTAGGCAAGGTTCTGGATTTTGAATTCGCTCGGCTTGCCAAAAAGTGTGGCATGTCCCAGGGCGAGGTCCGCCGCAATGCCGACTTTCCAATCGAGGCGGCCAGACTCAGCAGTGCGTTGTACCTTGTGGTTCTCAGCACTGTAGGGACAATTGTTTATGGATGGGTCATCCATTATCGAGTTGTGAGACGGTCCTGGGGAGCTGGCACTACATGTGTATTAAGTACCAACTGCGCAATAGCATGTTTCCGTTCCCCTTGTTTTCCAAGCCATTGTTGGCTTTTCGACCACCGGTCTCTTTGTGGTGTGTTTAATCTTGCATCCATGGATGGAAGTATAAGCTGTAGTTACTGAAGTAACTGAACCCTCCCTTACGCGCTTGGGACACTTCTCACGCATCTGAAGACCACCAAAGCATCTACCGCGTCTGCGTCCGCCAATCTTGTTCGCTGCGCACTTGCAGCAATCGCCCTTGCAGTTCTCCAGCCCCTCATTGATCGGATTGGGGCTGGTTGGTGTTTTACGGCATTTGGGCTTCTGGGCGGCCTCTGCGGTCCACTCATGATATGGCATATAAGATGCGGTGCGGCTCTGAGACAGAAAAGACAGGGGATAGAAGATCTGCACTAGCCTGACACAAATGGAATCTTTCTCGTGGAAATTGTAGAAAGCACACTCGTGTCAGGGGTTGCTTGTATGCACAGCTCGGCTAATAGATTTATTAATCTCTTGATCGTTTTGTAGCTGAACAGCATGCCTCACTTGTCAGACTAGCTGTAAACAGCAGTTGTTTCGGATGGAACGCTAAATTCGGGGCTTTAGGAGGCAATATAAATATGCAGCTTCCGTCTTACCTCACACGTATAGCTCTGCGGTGGAGAAGCTCACTGAGTATGCCGTATAGGGCAACAGGCGCAGCGATGTCTGCAGGGCCTACGCCATCTGTGGGCTGAAATGACATCTCATTCTGGTAAATAGGAACTCTTTAATCTGGATCAGCTCATTGCGGATTACCTATATGTGCTGCGGGTACGAAAGTTGGTCCGGGAGCGAAGGTATCTTGCGTGCTTAGCCTTCCTGATCACTACAACTACGAAATGAATTGCACTAGCGGAAAGCATTCACTGGGCATGAACTGGTTGTATCTTTTATCTTCCACCTGGTGTTAGTTGGCCACCCGGTTCGCAGGTCTTGACTTGGCCACAAGTTTGCCCCTTAATCGTCATGACATCGCGTCGTGTTCAACACCACCAAGCACTTTTCAGAGCTTAAAAACATATAATTCGGCGTGCGGGAAGACTGAATCGCCTTCTGGCCAGCAATGTTAGCAGTGAAGGATAGTTAGAATTCTCGGCTCTCTGACCTGATAGCCAAGCATTTCATGACATGCAGTAAGTGGCTGCACCTGTGGCAATTGGAGGAGGTATTCGTCTTCTCATGGCTCCCTTGGCTAGTATTTATTTTTCTAGAGACTGGGCTCATTAGCTGTTGCTTGCGTAGTTTTGACATTGCCTTTGTGTGTCACTGCTCAATTTTCCCCTTCACAAGTCTGTCAGCGATTTCAGAGACATGGCGGTTATAGGAACTGGTATTGAAAAGGCCGTGCAAAGCCTATACGGCCCGAGAAAAGTCACATAGATGTTATCACTTGCTGAAATTACTTGAATGAGGTATTTTTGCCCACTACTACAGAAATGGACTCTTGCTCATGGGTCGTGGCGAAAGCATATCCGAGTGCCGATGTTTACTACCCAAAATTGACGATTTTAGATGATATTCTACAAACAGGCGTGATAGAATTAAGGAGCGAACAAGTTATATTTATTGTAGTGCAGTAAATAGCCTTTTTTTGTGTATTCTACTTTAAAATTGATAGCACGCACATATAACTAGACATCGAAATCGACCTAACCCTTTACCTACGTGAACATGCACGTACTCTCATCTTTCATCCATTGTAGAGAGTCGTACTTTAATGAACTGTTGAATATTTAAGCTGCTAGTGGATGAAAATTCTATCCACATTATCATTCTGCACCGTGAGTCCTTTTGACAGATAGAGTGGTACGACCTGTCACAGGCTCGACCTCAAGGCAGGGAGCTGAGTTCGCTGCGGTTTGGTCAAAGTTGATCCAGTCAATAGTGCCGTTCTTCACATCTTGAATAATTCCAGCGAGTGTGTGGCGCACTTCTGGGGCAAATGCCCGCTCACATCTCTCCGCGTCAGCAAACCCTGACGCATATCGATTCATCGATATCGGGTCTCTCGGATTCGGTTCTATGGCCGTGACGAGGAGCCGCTCCTTAATCAGATTAATCAGACGAAACATGGCAGTCTCCTTGGTGCCTATCGGGGTGCACCTCGGATCTTTCTTGATGATGTTTTCGATCCAGTTATTGACTCCTGGGTTTAATATGGCTGTACTGCTGCTGGGCGAGAGCCCGTATGGGTGTTGTGTAGTGTAAAATCTGCCATTAACTTCCCTCACAAAGAGCACTAGCCCTTGGTGGCCATGTAGAAGCCAAATTACGAACTCCAGATAAAGGCAGCCGAGTGGCCATATGTCGTAACAATGTGGAGGTTCCATTCCCGGAAAGAATTCTGTCTCCGGGGGCGCGTAAGATAACGCCTTTGTCAAGGGCCTGGTTTTCTCGAAATGTAATAGGTCCCAGCCGCCCGTGAGCCTTGAAATACTAGCAGCGGATGTGACAAGAATGCAGGAGGTGTGGTCCTTGACCGCTTCTGGGCTAGTTTTTGAACGAAAACAGAAAATATTCCTAGGATGTAGATCGCTGTGGTAGTACATACGGCTATTACTTGCATGGTGTAAGACCTCAATGGTACCGGCGAGACCAAGAAGTTGATCAAATACCCAATTCATGTAGCCCTGATGGTAAATTTGGGGCAACCCACGACTCCAGAGCCCCCGAAGGCTACCATACTGCGGCGATGGAAAGATGAAGTAGGCGTTCTTGTCCTTCCTGTAGAATGCGGCCGCCTTGAGCAGGTGTCTGGTTTCAAACCCTCGGAGCATATCAAATGCCAAGTACTGAGATTTAACGAAGGAATCGTACACTTCATCCATTTTCAGAGCAGACGGTAACAATTCGTGGACCGTAACGAAGGGATTGCCTTCACTATCGGTCTGAGTCTCCTGATGCCTAGTATCAGCTACTCAATGTAGAATTAAGCGCTGCAAAATGATACACATCCAACTTTGTAACGATATGAGCACTTACAATGCCATCAACGTCAATAGTAACATAATCACGGTGAATGATAGTTGAGAAGATGGTGCTGAGATTAGTATGGCCGACAATCTTAGCATGTCCGAGGAAGGGCAACCTGCATCTTGGATGAAGGAGGGCGTCGTCGGAAGTTGCCCAAGTGAGCTTCGGGACAAAAAATATCCATTGTTGGTAATTGAAGAGGATGTCGGCCTCTTCAAACTTCATTTGGGTAGCAAATTCGAGTTTTGCAGGCTTCCTTCCCTCGATGATGGCATGGGTCCTGCATAGCTTGACTTTGAGAGGAAATATCGAGTCGCCGATGCCTTGATCGTAGAACTCTTCAAGCATCGCCAACTTATCCACATAGATGAGCATCAAGAATAGCCGTGTGGCATCTTGTCGGACGAAGTTTGCCAAGCGCGAGTTGAGGCTATTGTGCGCTAACGGATATCCGATGTCCTCCAGGACATTCTCGATATTCTGATGTTCCAACAACCGTTTGGCATGGGCGGGCGTGAGCCATCTTGGTTCCTGCCGCTCCCGATCATTCAACACATCTACTGTTGCCATGATAAGGTCTTTGATAATGCCATAGGCGCTCGTACGGTAGCTCGTTTCGACAGTACGGTTAAAGGCCGCGACCACTTGAATACACCGAGATAGCTTTTCCATATCTATTGGAATCTGAATCTTATCTGCCCATGGGATTTGCTTCTTATTAGCGTCAAATCTCCCTTCCGACTTCAGTAGAGAGGCCAGTCTGGGGAAACAAGAATCCGCATGGTTTGAAGCCTATTTTGAGTTATTCTTGGGAGCTTATAATTTTCATCTTGCTGGCTAATAAGAGCGCCAAATGAGAACTTACAAGATATGATACTTCTGCTTGCTGCTCAAGAACTTCAGGGAGCACAAACTCCTCCAACATTGTCAATAATGCTCCTACTGTGCCCAAAAGGTTTTGGGTGTGATATTGACGGTCTGATGACTTAGCATGAGAGACTATCTCTACAAGCCTAGGTATTTCAGCGCCGGCTTTCCTCATCGCTTGGTACAATTTGTTGGTCAAGCTATTTGACTGAGTGCTAAATGTCGAAGATTCGGCTTTATTTGTTCCGTCCAACTGACTTTGAAAGACAGCTAGAAAATTGGGAAAGGTGGCTTGAATTAGATCAAATAGAGGTTTGATATACCCAGTTCTTAATATGTCGGCATTGTCATCCGCTGGAAAAAAAATGCTATCCTCAAACAGAAGGAGTTCGACCCATTCATTCACCGTATCTTGAGCATTGGGTATTGCTTGCGTTTTCGGCATTCCATCTCTTGGGATACCCTCGATTTCCACGTCAGTTGTGAAGTTGATGGCTGGCAACATATGTATTCCACTCCGCATTGTTTCTCGGGTGGAAGCGCTAGAGGTTTCGTCTTCCTCCCAATCATCGTCATCGAGAAAATGTGATTGTGAGGACGCAACGCTCCGCTCCGGGAGAGCCTCCATGGCTAGAGAAAGAAGATGAGTAGCAATGTGGTGCGCAAGACGGTCAGGTTCTGATGACGGTGGTTGGTCTTGGCACTTCATTGGGCATTCGTCAAAGAAATAGCCATCGGCTGGGCGATACATGGAATTTATTACAGTCCTGGTCAACCATCTGGGGTACATCCCTTCGTGCTTTTGCTTGAGATGGTCTTGGACTTGGTCTTCATCACTGAACGACTTAGCCTCTGAATGAGGCTTCATTCGACATACCCAAGTCCCTCGCATATGTCGTGTTTTCATGTGACTGCTCCATTGTTCTTCTGTAGGGAACATCTTCAGATATGTTTGGCATTCTTCATCCAAACAACTGTAAGGTTCCAGGTCTTTTTTAACATGTTTTCTACCGGCAAATCAGCCTTTATGAGTGTGGGAAGCAGCATTCGGAACACATACCTCCACTTTGTTTTTTTAAGCTCATCTGGCTCCAATTTTTCAAAACAGTACGGGCAGCTCACATCATCGTTATCGTCGAAATTGCTTGGTTTCCTAGGGGGACGCGGCCAGGCCACATATGTAGGGCCAAAACTCGAACGAACGCTCATGGAAGCATTTGTATATCGACTAACAACAGATGCAGGGGTTTCATAGAGTCTGCTCTCAAATGACATCCGTGACGAGGCAGCGGCTTCGGGTAGCTGCGGCCGCTCAATAGACGTATGTTCATTACTTGATGTTTTAGCCCTCAGATGGTGTGGCTCGGTCGTTTCGGGTCCTCCTTCTGGTAACAGTGGATAATCTGAAGTAATTGCCTGGCTGCGAGCGATTGTCCTCTTTCTTCTTGAAAGTTTCTCGTGGTGTTGTTTCCAGTGTCTAAATCGCCTCATACGAAATGACATGGCATTAATAAGTATCTCTTGGATAGTAAGAGGAGGTTCTCTGGGATCTTCTGAAGATGTTAATGCATCAATTTCTGTTTCTTCCTTTGCCTCACCTGGGAATCTATATTTGACAAGATTTGTCGCGAATAGCTCATCACCGGCTCCTTCGTCGGTGTCCCCTTTGATATCCCTTTTCTTGATTTCCTGAGCGTTATATTCGGCAGCCGTAGCCCTCTTAATAGCGGCCGACATTCTTTTCAACTGGGTAATTATGTCATGGACCGATGCTATGGCTTCGTCAGACAGTGATTTGGCGACGTCTCCAGCCTCCATGGGGCTGGCGGTTTCGTGTGCCTCGCCGCACCCTGATTTGGCCTTGTCGATCGCCGCGATTTCGTACAATGTATCCTCAGATTGATCAAATATCCGAGTCGCTTCCAAGGTTAACATTCACGATTCGTGCAGATGCAGGAGATGTTCAACCCTTACTATAATCCAAATTCGCCCTCAAGACTCTGAGGAGCATAACAATTGCATTCCTGGTTTTGCCACTATTTCGAAGGCGATGGTCTAGTGAAGAGGTCATAGATGAATCCAAGCTAGAGCCAATGTTGCTAGCCCATATGTGAAACCGTAACATCTCGTCGTCAAGGCGCTGTTGTGAGATTTTTGATAGAGAAACACAGGCTTTGCATGATGCAAACAGATTGATACAACTTAAATAGGCCTCGTATATCAGCGTCTCATGGGCCTCTTCGCCCGCGGTTGACTCAACGACAGACATTGCGCGCTGTGATGAGGCGGCCACAGTTATTATTCATGGGTTTGCTCTTCGTAGGAATGGAAACGATGAAGCAGAAGCGAAGTCGAAAAAGGCGATGCTGGGTTGAATCGTGTCCAGAAGGTGTGGAATTACCTCACAATTTGGTTGCGAGTTGGGCCACACAATCTAGCTGTCACACGGTTGGGCCACAACAAAGGCGACTGTGCCAACAATGGTTACACAACAACAAAGAAGGTGTCACGGGAACCGCCGTCGGACCTCGGGCCAGAGCTGCCTCAGGCCACTAACGCTTACCGTTTTCTTTGAGCCCTTGAAAACTCTTAGAAAACCAAGGGCCCTGATACTTTAAAGCAGATTATTCAGGTAAAATAGAACTTATTACGTTCCAAGCCCAGTCATACTGCCCTCGTCACACTGCGGCCCAGCCGTCGTTGTCAGGCGGGCTCCAATGACAGTCCAACACGTTATCGCGCAATATTTTCAAAATCCCGGTGTAACAGAGGGATTTAAGTTGTGTCACAGTTCTACGCAAAAAGCACCCGCGCCCCCAGGCTCAGGGTCGTCATGGATAACATGCATCACCTACCTGTTCTTTCCGAGTCAGCACAATGGCGGCAAATCAACCTAGCTATCTCCTCGCCCCCAATTGGGATTTCCCGCCTGACCGAGATGTCAGGTTGGGCAACATCATCAAAGATCCAAAATTGCCTGGTTGTTCGTTAAACTCAGAGTCGCGTATCGACCCGAATCAGGATTCTGAGAGTCCGCACGCAGTTACTACCACGAAGAAACAATCATGGAGTCTCACCCGACACAACCTGCTGTCGCTCAATGCCGGCCTTCAAACCTCATTTCTAGCCCCTCTGATAGGCTTTGGAGGCGATGTCGCCGGCAGAGCCTTTCGTGATGATGGGGCAAGGTTCAAGTGTCAAACACTCGAGACGCAATACTTCAACCCCAGCGACCGATATATCGCAGAGAGCCTGTCTGCCAAGACGGTGAAAGCGTATACGAAAAAGTACTGGTGGAAATCGATCTACATGATCACCGGCGTCAAGATTGCGCACGGCGCCAGCATAGAAACGTTTAGAAATACAGGCTCCGGTGCCGACGTTGCTGTCACCACGGATTTAACGCCGTCCACAGCAGTCTCTGTTGAGGAAAAGCCGCACTTCAGTTCGGAAACAATGCATGAACACCACATCGTGTTCGATGTGTGTGAGGAGCCGTTCATTATCGGGTACCAACTCCTCAAGATCAAGCCCAAATCCGACGGCAAATACGCAGACAAACCATTCAATAAGTTCGCACTACTGAGCGACGAGCAAATTGAAGATGCTACGAGCAAAGAGGCGGTGGAGCTTCTGCATCAGGTGTATGATATTGGCAACGTCGAAGGTCAGGATGATATCGACGGAGAGACTACTGAGATTTGGTGTGCACCTGGGCTATTTGACTGTGCCGAGTATTGAACACGATAGCAATCTGCCAGACGGCTGTAGTTCTCACCAGTCGATAATTTCAAGATGTACAGCGGTTCTATTTTCACATCTTGGTAGGAGCCAAATGCGCGTCGGTGTGCTGAACTGTTTCTGGCTCCTATCGCCCAGAAAGATCCGTCACCCATCATTTGTACTCACTGGGACTTGTGTAAGCCGGGTGCAACAATTTCGCTCCTGCAATGCCTTGGGTAGCGTTCAGAATGTTGTGATAGTGTCGTTCGCAAGGAAGTCAGCCGCCAGAAAGCTGCGACCTCGGGGCGGATTTCCGGTGAAGTTTGAGTACATTGGTATCCGTACCTTATCCACAGTCTACTGAAATATACTATGCTCTGGACAGTCGATGAAAGAGTTCCATAGTCACTACAGGCTTTGGGAATTAGGGGCGCCGAGACAAACCCACCTGTACGGTTTTTGTGTAGCCAGCTGTTCATGGATGACAAGTCCTGCTACTTTTGTTACTACAAAGTACGCATATATTTTGAGGTAGTCATTCTTTCCCGACTCCTAACGATATCGACTTCCTCCTCGGCATATGTGGAGAAACCATCCCTGCCGCCCGGTGAGCGACGTTCTCGTTGGGCACCATTCAACCGTTGACCTTCATGCTTCCCTTCATGCTTCCCCTCATGCCATCCCGTGGTATTCCAATCATTTTTAGAGCATTCTACTCGTCCTTGAACTGGAATTTGAACCCTTCTAGGTGCAAATATGAAGAGATTCCGGTCCATATTCTCAAAAGCCACCAAACTAAACTTCTTGCGCTGCGAGAGCGATCTTTCCAAATATGAAAAGCTTATGGAGCGCAGTGCGTCCGGCCAACCAGAAAGAGTCGACTGGGAGATAACTGAAAAGCGGAGGAATTTCTCCAATATCAACTGGGAGGAAACGGAAGCCCTGCAGGACGGGCCAGAGGTCTCCCCTACTGATGACGAATATTGCTTGACGATGAAGGATGTTCATCCCGCTTGTGATACATCAGACGCTCAAGAGGCTATTAGGCGGTTCTATGACACTCTTTGTGATCACTGGCCTTTCCATTGCGGGGATACCCATCGTTCAATGCTTAGGTTGGTCGGCCATAGACAATACATAAGCGAGGATGGTAGAGCTGCCCACACATTCGAGTTTGACACATTATCATCAAGCCACAACCGTCACTGGGGCCGCATCAAGTTTTTGGCAGAGTAAGTAAATCACCATGTCAGGCTCACTTTTAGAGTGCTTAGCTATGATGCTAACTGTGCAAACGAAACGAAGGGTACCACAACGTCGTAGGAAAGTCGCATTCGAGGGCATTGCCGACCAGGAGAACCCAAACAGACCTACTCCTGTGGATCTCTGCCAAACGATCGAACGGTCTGCAAGGGAAAAAATGTGCTATTTCGTCAACTTCGGCTGTGGCCAGTCCTCAAAGCTGCCAGGCCATCTGCCGATCATACTTCGCGAGCCCCTAATCGGGCTGGGAAACCTCCTTCAAGCAGGAGATGCTGACCAGGTAACTTGCGGATACCAACTTAGTCTGCGGGAAAAGGCCTTGGTAGCCGTGATATTCGCATCCACCCTGCTCCAGCTCAGCAAAGGAGCCTGGGGGAAGGGAGCACTTGACGAGGGGCCTTGGCTGCAGAGGAATTGGACCGAGAACGGAATACAATTCTTATTGAATATCGATAACAAGCCGATATTGGACGAAGCCTATCTTCCAATAATTTTCAACGGCCCACCCGACGGTAGTACGTTTAACTGCTCGACATCCAGCTTTCTCGCGTTGGCCATCACCCTTCTTCAACTATCAAACTCTGAAGTCGTTCAGAAGTTTAATGCGATTCGCAAGGAAATCCTACAACTTGAAGAAATTAAAGAAACGGAAAATGATCAAATAGATCGGTGGGCTCTCCATCACCTTATGACTGTCGACACGTTTACTGCGCTCGTAGACGACCAATATCAAAAAGCCATTAAAGCTTGCATTTCGGGCAAGCTTGCTACTGATATAGGACAAGTAGAAGAGGGTATAGTTCAGGAATGCTTCGAGCAGGAGGTTATCTTACCCCTGAAAAACTATCTGGAGAAGATGATGGGTCCAGAACAGGCGATGGCATCTATGAGGAGGAACCTGGTATCTCAAACAAAGCATTCGCGACAGTTCCAGGAAGGGAACTGGTGTTGTTCATCTGACAAGAGTGACGATGAGGGTCGTCACTCGATAGATGAAGAGAAGTTCGTTACCTTTTGAAGTACAAGACGTAGCACACAACTAACGCTACCTGTCCAGTGCCAAATATGCCAAGCAATGGTTCCATATGTTCGAAGCCAAAGTTTATGAGCTCGTGAAGCTGCAACCTGAAGACGATGTGAGGGGTACATCTTCGCCTGCTCGTATTAAAATCGCCATACTTGACACGGGAATACAATTCCCGCGAGAGGCTTTCGACCTCTTCGGTGACCAGATCATTGAGTACAAAAGCTGGATCCAATGTAACGAAGATCGAAGCGAGCTGGACGGGGGACACGGGGACTTGGATGGCCATGGCACTCATTGCGCTTCAGTGCTGCTCAATGTTGCGAAAAATGCGCACATATATGTCGCCAGAGTTTTCCGGGCGCGAACAGAACGTAACATGGATGACAATGCAACCAATAAAGCCATAGCCGAGGTAATTCTTCCCATTGAATCTACAATACTCAGCTAAGATGTCTTTAGGCACTTTCATACGCCATTGATAAATGGCAAGTCGATATTATTACAATGTCATTTGGTCGCCCTGACAGGGTAGAATGCATCAATTCCCAGATTCAGCGAGCTCGGGATAGAGGTATTCTCATGGTATCAGCAGCATCTAATGCTGGTGGACTTGGGACCATTTCATGGCCAGCAAAGGCTCAAGATGTCATCTGCGTTCATGCTCTTGATGGATATGGAAATGGTACTAATTTCACCCCGAGTCCCAGGCCACACAACCATAACTTTGCTGCACCGGGCGTGTCCATAGAAGGATACTGGCCAACGCATCTAAGTCCCAGCAGAAAGCCCTTTCAATACATGAGTGGCACATCTTGCGCCACGCCAATTGTGGCAGGTATCTTGGCAGTACTACTGGAGTATGTTCGCAAACATGAAACCAAGTATGGCTATTATGCAGATCTTTTCAAAAGACTAAGGGAGAAAGAAGGCGTCGTTACGATATTAGGAAAGATGACGTCCACAGAGAAAAGGAACAAGTACCAGTTCTTAGAGCCTTGGAAGCTTTTGGATGCGCAAGATGAGTTCCAGAATGATGATATTCGCATGAAGGAAATAATCAGACTGCTAAAGAGTGTTGGATAAGTTACATTAAATTGCGTCAAGTGTCGCCCGTTATTTGCCCACCCATTTCCTTCTAGAGACTACACTCGTCTATTGACGAATTAGAGACATTTACTCCTTTTTCTAACGATATGAATATTCTTGGTACATATTCGGTCAGGTTTGATTGTTATATTCTCATCAAACAGCCCCCTATCCCTGATTCTCTATATTTATCTACATCTGGAACTAAACAAGCAGTCATTTCAAGAGCTTGTGCTACCGTCCTGCTACATAAGAGAGAAATGCCAACTCATCCATCATACACGATAGCTAATATTTGGCTGCTGCTACTAGGAAGAGGAGCCTTAAACCTATAAGAAACATGAAATTAGCACTATTAAAAGAAGAATTAAAATTACCGAGGTAAGAACTAAAACAGAAAGCTAATTTATACAGTAATTCTTTTTGAGTCGTCTCATAAGCCGAATATTATGAGCATAGATCTTTAGCCAAGTCGGGGGCTGCTGCTACAATCTAATTGAAACTTTATTACTACACGCCGGCCTGCCTAGACTCCACGTAGTTTGTAAACCCTAGAGTTGATCATAAAAACATAACTAATACTTAAAACAGAAGCCTCTTAGTATTGAAAAAGTTTTCGCAGCCGAAATCTCTATAGATTTTTGTATGAAATTATCTTTTATCATTCTCATTACGTCCCAAAAGTAGGTAATTAGGCTATATGGGGAAGCTACCTGTAGCTACCTACTAAGACAGATATCGGGCCGGATTTAACCCTCAGCCTTTTCCAAAGCCTTTTAGCTATCATCAACTGGCAACACTAGAAGCACATATAACACAGGAAAAGTCTCTGTCGCGTCGTAAAAAGAGACGTACGAGGACCTTTTAGCCAGGGCGGGGGTTGATATGAAGCAGCACCGAGTATTATATTCTACGACAACAGCAATAATATAGCCTTTGGGAGGATTACATTTAATAGCCTAGCTTCTTAAGGCCTCCAGCTTAGTTCGCATGTCACCCATCATCACGTCTATATCCTCCTCACCCTCCTCCTCCTCCTCCCCCAGAGGAGCCGCGACGGTAGAACCCGGGGCGATCAGGGCAGTGGACAGTCTCCCGGTGGTAGCCATACGGTCTTTAAGGATTTCCGGTAGCACATTGTCGACCTCTTCCTCAGAAGCCTCCTCCTGGAGCTCCGTGGGACTATTAGCATGCAGATTCTCGCCGACCAACTCCTCGATAATGCCGGCCTTTATAAGCTCCCTCGAGAGCTCCTGCATCGTGATTGCCAGCTCAGGTATACGGATAAGCGATATAACATTACGCATAGTGCCAGCAGAAACACGTATGCTGCCTTCTATTTTCTGGGCCATGGAGGCTTCATTAAGCTGCATTTGCACGCTGCTGAGCTGCGCTTTGGATGTGACGTGGTGGCCGATATCTTGCGGCATCGGATCAGCTCTTGCGCGAAGACTCGCACCCCTCGCTGGGCCTGTGCCTGTCGCTGCAGGTCCCGCGCCGCTCGCTTGTCAGCCTGCATGACGAGGCTCTTCGCTTTGATTTCCTGTCGCTTCATGTGCGCGATATCGCGGTCTAGTTTGCGTGCGTCGGACCGAATGAGTGCGTTGCATTTTCGGAGCTATATCATTTCTCAGGAGTTGTCAGCGAGCTCTACGACGGAGGACAGGACTATTATTGGCTTGATGCTCACAGCGGGCAGCGAGTAGGATGATGGCCCGCGACGACGTCCAGAGTGACGAAGCGTGAGGGCGGGATTACCCGTGTCCGAGGGTCGGGCTTTACGAATATCGCTCTGAGATTCTCCATTGCAGGCACGGAAGATGGTTAATGCTAAGATTTGGCTGCCGTCAAGTCCTGCCTGTCGCGGACGGGAGGCGAGGCAGGGTGCTTGCCACATTGGACACTCCATGAGGATTCGATTCGATTAGTGTTGGCTCTGGATGCCTAGGTGCGTAGGCAACCACGACGTAGATGACCCTAACCCTACTGCACTGTGCCTGGTCAAAATGTGTATAATGAACATCACTAAGATACCAAATTTTACCCAAAGCTCGATTAGTCGGCTTTCTCATGTTACCTGGGTACTTTTGTTATTTTCAAATGTTTCAAGGGAGCATTGTAAGAGAGGCAAGGTCACGAGTGACGTCTATCACCGCCGTCGTCGTTTAAACCAACGTACCTAGGTACCTAGGTAGTGAGTACCCGCTTAGCACCAAGTTGCCTGCCAGTGTGAACAGCTGTTGGCGGCTGGCATCAATTGGTGTCTGGTCACAGGGGCATCGAAACTTGGATGATGTCTGGCCCTTTTAATCTTTTAATCCTACCAGTTGAGCAGCCGCGAGTGTCCCCTTCACGCCACACCTCCGACATCAAAACGCCGGAAATATCTAGCCATGTCACCAACTTCGAACGCGACATGCACCAAAGATGGCGGGCAGTGACATCACTGGCTGAGGCACACTCGCCCCAAAGAGCACATCCGGCGCCCCAGCCACCGACGGGACCATCCATGCTCGACGTTGCACCCAGATTTCGACCCCCCCCCCAGCCCGTTTCGAGACACCTAGCGCGAGGTGCAGCATGCACCAGCAACCAAGTAGCCCATCACAAGTCGCCATACCCGTTGCGTTGTTCAAACCGCGCAGGCCATCCCACCAGTCTAAACCACTTGGGGCCGCATCATCCACAATAAGCCCGCAATCGAAGGCGCGAACTCGATGAAAAACTGAGGCCCGAGTGCTGTCATAAAGGAAATCTCCCCTCAAATGGCAGCCTTGTTGTTCTCTCCTCTTTCCTCCTTTCACCACCGGGCCGCTTAGATACGTCCGACTAAGCGAGCCATGCCATCCGAAACCGACACCAAGGAGGCACGGGAGGTGAACCACCAGTCTCTCGCCGTACAGGAGGAGAACCCAGCGTCCGTCGCGCCAGCACCAACCAACGAGCAACGGGAGGTCGTGACGCCGGCGCTGGGAGAGGGCGACATACCCACGACGAGCCAGTGGGAGATCCGCTCATGGTATCTCTACTACATCGGGGCCAACGGCCTCGCCCTGTTCAACTTTGGCCCGACGGCCTTCCAGAACCTCCTTGACCAGGCAGCCGGCGACTCGGGGCTGCTGTACTTTGCCGGCCGCGCGCGCGACGTCAACAGCATCGTGCTTCTCGCCAACGGCATGTCGTTCGCTATACAGGCGGCGCTGTTCCTCGTCATCGGCGCCCTCGCCGACTTTGGCACGGGAGGTCGTGATGCCGGCGCTGGGAGAGGGCGACATACCCACGACGAGCCAGTGGGAGATCCGCTCATGGTATCTCTACTACATCGGGGCCAACGGCCTCGCCCTGTTCAACTTTGGCCCGACGGCCTTCCAGAACCTCCTTGACCAGGCAGCCGGCGACTCGGGGCTGCTGTACTTTGCCGGCCGCGCGCGCGACGTCAACAGCATCGTGCTTCTCGCCAACGGCATGTCGTTCGCTATACAGGCGGCGCTGTTCCTCGTCATCGGCGCCTACGCCGACTTTGGCACCGGCCGGCGATGGGTCCTGCTCGTCTGGTCCGTCATCGCGTACGGCATCGGCTTCGGCTGGCTTGGCGTTCACGACGCCGCGAGGTGGAAGGTCGCCGCCGGCCTGTACATTATTGGTCTGGTCGCCTACCAGCTCACCCTGACCTACTGGACCGCGGCGTTCCCGTCGTTGGCCCGGAACACGGCGCACCTCAAGGCGTCCCGCGTGGCGTACGAGACCGGCGAAATCACCCAGCAGGAGCTGGACAGGCGGGACGAGATGGAGCGCAGTAGACTTAGCAACGTTGCGTTTTGGATCCAGTCGTGCGGCGAGATTGCCATCCTCGCCGTCATCGTGGGCATCATGTTTGGCCTGCGCGTTGACGACAGCCCGTCCAACAATAACTGGGGCCTCTCTGTTCTTGTCGCATTCGCCACAGCGTGCTGGCTCGCGCTGTCCATTCCCTGGTTCGTGCTGGAGAAGAAGCGCCCCGGGATGAGGATCCCGCCCGGCAGGAACATCGTCACCGTCGGCCTGTGGCAGCTGTACGAGGCCCTGACGCAGATTTGGCGCCTCAAGCAGAGCCTGGTGTACCTCGCCGGCTACTTCCTGCTTGGCGACTCGCTCAACACCACCGTCACCGTCATTGCCACTCTGCAGAACCAGGTCGTCAGCTACAACACCCTCACGCTGACGTATCTCCTCATAGTCGGCGTCGGCACCCAGGCCCTCGGCATCGGCGGCTTCTGGCTCATCCAGAAAAGTTTCAACCTCAGCGCCAAGACCATGTTTAACGCCGTCATGGTCTTCATCGTCCTACTTGACGGCTGGGGCATGGTCGGCAACTGGACCGACAGGTTCGGCTTCAAGAACGTCTGGGAGGTGTGGCTGTACCAGGCCTACTACGGACTCGTCGTGTGCCCCTGGTACAGCTACTCGCAGATCATGATTAGTTCAGTGACGCCGCGCGGACACGAGTTTCTCTTCTTTTCCGTCTTTAATATTATTGGCAAGGCGTCTAGCTTTATTGGGCCCTTGATTAGCAGCGCTATTATTGACGCTACGCCCGGCGGGCAGAATAACAGCGCACCGTTTTATTTCTTGTTTGCGCTGAGCCTGCTGAGCGCTCTGGGGATATGGGCGTTTCTGGACCTCGACAAGAGCGCGAGGGAACAAGAGGACTTTCTTGTCCAGGAGAAGGAGAGGGTATATGGGGAGGATACTGCTGCCGGGAAGGAGAAGCTGGCAGCCGTGTAGTCAGTTGCCTTTGGAGTAAATTCAAGGCAACATATAGCCAATACAAGGCGTTATACCTGAGTGGTGCTGCCAATTCCCACAGTATATTGTGTCTGGTAGGTCAAAACTACGGCGACTAGGACTTGTTTGTGTCAACTACCTCCCATGTCAGCCTCGCTATTTTGTAGTCCTTGAGGTTGACGTTGAAGTAAGATTAATAGTGTGGAGGGAAGGCCAGGCGGGATGTGCAAAGGTGGTAGAGCGCATCCAGAGTACGAAGCATGGGACGCTCATGAGATGGCCGCCGTCTATCCTAAGCCTAATCTCTAACGTGTGGGAAAGTCGACTGGTGTGCCCAGGCCCCAATAGATCAATTGACCGTGCAGCCAAAAGATCCCCCAGTACAAGCAGCTGCTTGTACTTCAATTTACATTCATCTCGCCTATCCTGCTCTTCTGTTAGTATTCCACCGGCCACTCCCTACTACTCACACAGGACTAATGTCTACATAATAGCCACGTGCTCGTCACAAGCCGTGAACGCTTGCGGCTGGGCGGTTATTAGAAGAAGCACCATCTACGGTCTTATGGTGCCCTTGCGACCCCTATTTTTACTCTGCTCACATTGTGATAATCAATCCGGTCCCGCAGCGCGACGCTTGAAGGCTCACTCTGGCCAAGGTTAGATTTGTGCTGAACTCCTATGATGGCAGTATTACTAACTGGCTTCCAACTAACCAAGTTTAAGTTTCATTTCAAGCCACTCTCCCTTTATTTGCAGGCACAAAAATAGAGATTCCGTTGTCAAGTGTCTATTGTACGAGCGTAAGCGGTGTTATGTGGACAGAAAGGCCCAAGGCGACGTGCTATATCCGCGGCACCAGAGTGTTGTTTATGCGGCATTAAACTGTTTCCAGAACGAGCTGAGCCGGGTACATCTCACTAGGGTTACCCAAGTACCTTGCTGGCTTCCGTCTCGGTGCGGCACTTGATCAAAGCCCCGTGCCTCCTTACCAAAACAGGTAACTTAGGCGTGTCCGACACCCGGTGTACTCCAGTGGAGCTGACCGAAGGGTCCCCGGAGGCCGGACGGTCACGGTCCACAACGCCCCGGCCAGCAGCTGGTGACATTAGCAACGGCCCAAACCCGGCCACACTAAGTGTAGCTCTTTGTAGCTTGCGTGCCCGCCAGGGCCTTTACATACCTAGGTACCTAGGTAGGTAGTTTAAGTGTGAAATAGAGTACGTTTGGCAATCTAGCTTCCGAGTAGCTTGATATTCCCGCCAAGAGCTTAATTTCTCCCCCGAGTCTGCTTTATTCTATAGACACAAGGTAAACTATAGTATTAACAAACGTCCCGTATAAACCATGGAAACAGGGGGATTAGTTCTCTAACAGCTGCCTTTATTCTTTCATCTTTCTTATTACCCCGTCTAAGACCCAGCCATATGACACTAAATAATCTGCGGCCAAAATACTCTGTTAGTTTACGGTTCCATCATCTAGCTTGGGTTGATTGTGTCTCCTAAAGCTGGTTTCCAACTACCTGCTTAATACCCCAGCAGCCCATGAATGCCCCCCACACACCGATGACCACCTCCCCAAAGTGCATGTGCTCATCGACCCGGCTTTGACAAGTTTCCCCTTGCAAGGCTGGAGCCAAGTCTTTTTGACATTTGCTACTTCTGCGGCATGCAGTGCACCTGCCAGTACCCATGCCGCCAAGCTCATTGTCATATCCTCGCCGTCGCGCTCGTCCTGCAGAAGCACGAACTCCTAACGGGCACATCAGCCACCTCCAACGCCCTCTTCAACACGGGCTCAATCTCCCTGGCCTCCACCGCCCGGCCCAGTTTCACGCAACACTCGTGGTACCCGTGCAGCGCCCACACATTGTTCGGGTGCCGGTGTACCCTGGGCAGCGTATCGTCCAGGCCCAAATCGGCCCTGTAAATACCCCATGCCTCCTCCACACGGCCCTGCTCAAGTAACAATGCGCCGTAGGCGTGTCGAACAGGCTGCATCCAGCCCCACGGTTCGTCGAACGGCAGCCAGTCATAGCGCAGTATGCCCTCGCGCAGATGCGCGAATGCAGCATCGTGATTCCCTGAGCGGTATTCGATTTCCCCGTTGAGCATGGCCTCTGCCACGTCCAGTATATCGACGCATTTGTTATTGAACAGCGTTCTGGAGGGTTTGACGTGGGGGACGGATTCACGGAACAGTCTCCGGTAGGCATTGGCGTCTTCCACGCGGTTGAGCGCAGCAGAGGCTACACCCTTGGCGTAGTGCAGCAGGGCCGTGGTGACGCAGTATAACTCGGTGTCTTGGGGCAGTTTCAAGGCGAGCACCTCGTGCCATTTCCCAAACCGAATAAGCGCGTGCACGCGCATGGAGAGAAAGGCCTCGAGCCAATCGGCCATGGGGGGGTTTTCCACGCGGAGTAGTTCTTCTGAGATGCTGGCCTCGAGCATGTCGACTGTCTCAAAGGCTACCTTGGACTGGCCCGAGAACATGGCCCCGTAGATGCGGAAGTGGTAGTCGTGGCTGCGGTAGAGGGTGTAGAAATTCATGGGGCCCTCGCGCTTCAGGAACTTTTCGTCAGCGAGCATGGCGTCCGTGTTGGCCATGACGGCGCGCGGGTAGTCGCCTACAAGGATGTCGAGGTGGGAGGGCATGTGGTTGAGGTGACCTGCGTCCGGGACGAGGCCACGCAGCTTGTCTGCGGCTGGCATGCCGGCCTCGGGTATCTGGGACATTTCCATGAGGTGGATGTAGAGGTGTAGGAGGCCTGGGTGCTGATCGCCGCCTTGTTGGGCGACGGCCTTGTCCAGGACGCGCTTGATCTCAACGGTGCGTGCTTCTTTTGCCGGTTCGCCGGTCTTGATGTCCCATAGCTGCCAGGGTGTGAGGTTCATCATGGCATCGGCGTACAGAGCGGCGACATCGAGGTCTTGGGGGAATTGCGAGGCTACAGAGGCCATGGCATCTGCATAGTCCCGGTTCCAGATACAATAGTCCGATTTGGCGGGAGCGCCTGTGCTTGGGTACCGAAACTGGAGGGCTTCAATGAGGGCCCTTTCCGCGGGAGTGGCATCGGCAGAGTTTGCCTTGGCTTCTTCCACGGCGCGGTGTGTACGCTGTGCAGTGGTGGTGAGTTCGTTCTTGGCAAAGAGTTCCCATGGCTTGTTGTAGTTTGGGCCGAGGGAGTAGGCGAGCCCCCAGTAGGCAATTGCGCAGGAAGGGTCATGGTCAATGGCTCGCTGGAAGCACTTTGCCGCCTCTTCGTGATTGAAGCCATAGCACCAGACGAGGCCGCGGTTGAACCAGGTTTGAGAGACGGGGTGTTTGGTGGTGATGTGGCGATGATGGGTGCCGAGGTCGTAATAGCCGTCGTCGAGGGGCGGCTTGTTGTCGTCCTTGGGCATGGTGGGCGTGGCAGACATGGTGGCCAGAGGTGCGGAATTAATTTCGTGGTTTCAACGAGTGGTTCCGATCATGGTCGGCCCGCGGTGCCGCTATTGTGAAGAAAGGCGAATGTGTTGAAGATCTGGTGGGAGATTTCCATGTCGAAGCTCCGGCCCAGAGATGGTGGGGTGACTGGGGTCTGGTGACTTTGGGCAATGGGGCTTGGTGGCTCGCTGACATGTACAGGTACCTCGACACGCGTTGACGAACGAGAGCCGGCTTCGGTGTCGGAGCTTGATCTGGACTGCTGCGGATGCTTGCCGACATGACAGTGCACAGTAGTAGGCGGGTAACACGTTCCCCGACTGGTATACTCTGGGCCTTCCAAGCGGCCTGCGTAAAACGATCGCGGCCGGATGATCAACTGATGCCTGCCAGACGGACATTTGAATCATCTGGAGTGGAGTATCGAGTACCTGCGCAATGGAGTCATGGCAGCTGCAAACCCCGTACCGACTACCCCCGGGACCCCGTCTTCCCCAGTTGCAGTTGCGGGTGGGCGTCTTTACCCCGACCTCGGCCTCGGATCTCACCGACACCCGTTCACCGCATGTCAAGTCATGGTTGGTTTCTTTTCTTTGTTCACAATGTGGTTGCTACAGCAACAACGTTATTTAGAATCTGATAATAACTAAATGCCCAAGCACACCATGGAATAAAGGGGCAAGTCGGCCCTGACGAGAGTCCATCGCAACCAAGAAACCGGGTCCATTGATTATACGCCCCGCCTAGTGCCCGAAACACAAGCACTGCATTATATCGTGATATAACAGAGCCTTGGTATACTTTGCTGTCCCGGGCCAGGGGCCACATGCAGAGCGAAATATATTGAAGAGGTCGCAGCAGGTGTACGCTCTTCGTCCACCATAGGGTGTAAAAGGTCCACGGGTACCCGTGTGGGTTGCTTACCCGTGGGCTTTAGGTAAGTAATAGGTAGGAAAAAAAGACTTAAATAAATTTATAGGGGAAAATAAGGTACTTATAATTATTTATTAAGAATATTAAGTGTTTTTAAGTACTTAAATAAAACTTATATAACTTACTTTATACTTTAAACTTAAGACTTATTATAAATATAATTAAATATTTATATTATTATACGTTTATAGATATTTATAAGGTACTTATCTTTATATTAGGTTACTCGTAATATACCTAAACTACTTACATGATAAAATAGGTAGCCCACGAATAACCCAAGAAAAACTTGGATACCCACGGGTGCCCACGGGTACCCGTTTTTACACTCTAGTCTACCATCCCGTCGGCCGCCGGGTCCGTCCCCGAATCGTTGAGAGCGCAGACGTCGACCCTTGTTTCATCGCCCATAAGATCCGTGCCCAAATCCGCGTGCTGGTGGGGGAGGGAAGCTTGACTCAACTAGGTCCTAATAGCGAAGCCCAACATGAGTTTCTGGAAAGTAGAGCAGGGAATTACTAAGAACTTCGTAAGTATCTGGCTGTCCAGACCTGTAGCTGTGGCTTCAGGACGTAGATTAATCAGTTGATGGAATCAATTTTGACACATTTTCTTCTTTTTTGGCTCTCATAAACCAACTCTTCCAACTGATTGGACCGATAACAGCATGCTAATAACAGCAAAATCACGGTTCAAGTTCTCTTTAGAACACCATATACAAGCGTCTCTCCTATATGTATTGAGACCATGACGCAGGTGTGTTAGTGGTACTAGACGCCAAAACGTAGAATCTACGGAATTTAAAGGCTGCCGCGGCAAGTTGAGAAAGTCGTTACCCGCAGGGAAGAAGTGCCATTTACGTACATCTGCAACCATGAACTGAAAGCAAAAAGAGCCTTTTATGAGATACCGGCTCTTACATCGGGCTACGTGTACCACTTCGACACCACTCCAGGAGCTACACTTGAATTCAGCATCCCAATGCGGCACTTCGAACTTGATTATCTGCCCTTTGCCGTGGCATCGTGGCTTGGAAAAAGAGACAGGGCCACTTTTTGCCGAGGCTGACCGAGTTTTGTGACGTGAGATGCACAGTGACATCATGCAAGAGTGACCTTGGGACGGGTTTGTGACGTTTAAAGTTTCGAAACTGAGGGTACCGACATTGACAATGCTGGCCTTCTTTTTAAAAGTCTGCCCCTAGAAAATCCAAAGGACGGCTGTATATTATTAAAGTCCAGAGTGAATCTCAGATAAATCATCTTCATTCCTTAAAAGTGCCTGACGTGGCCCGAAAAAGCGTGCCGGTCGACCTTTGGCATGTTGGCGCCGCAGGCCGTCCAGACGTTGTCCTTGATTCTCGTTGTCCATGCATCTGCTACATCAGCTGAATCATCAATGCGAGTCGTCAATGCGTTGCGAGTCATGTCTGCTGTCCAAAGCGCTTGCCATATATAGGAACAAGATATGGGCAAACTGTTATTGCTATATAAGATTAGCAGATCTCCCCTTACATCACAAGATAGACATGACAGGTTGAGACAGCTTACCACATTACTACAATTAATACGACATCACAAAATTACCCCTTTTAAGTCGAATCAAATGAAGCAAGTCGCTTACTTGGCTTTCATTGCCGCCACGGCATTCCTTGCAGTGTCGTCGCCTGTTGGCGCCAGTCCCGGTGAGCAAGCGACTTTGGCCCAGAAATCAATTACAAAACATCTGACCACATACAGCTACCAAGGATGCCGAAGCTGGCAACAAGGGCAAGAGCATTGGGGACAGTGCCGGTGCTTTGGCCGACAGCATTGCTAAACATGATGCAGGCAAAATTGCACAGAATGCCGTTGCACTCGCTGGGAGCATCGTCGATTCAGCCTCCGGTAAAGGTAAGAAGGAGGCCAGGGAGGCTGTTGTTGCTCCCGTTTTGAAGTCAGAGGCCATCTAAGGGACATCTGACTGGCTCGTCATCCTGCTGAGCAGGTTGAACATATGCCTCTGATTTCTGATGCCTTTTAGCATCATAACTCAGGGGGACTGGTCGGAATGCTTCGGGAAACTTTGGGGAGCTGGGATTTCAGATACGGATGCCTCGGTTGATTGAACTAGCGGGCCTGGTGTAACGACCGCATGTCACAAATGTCAGGCACCAGACGTTGGAAAGGTTCACTAGGCACACTTTAAGACGAATGGCATGAGTCCCTCTAGTCCAAGTATCAAGGAATGCGTCAACAGAAGTTGCTGTGTGTCAATGCATCTAGCTAATAATAGGCCTCATGACGTGACACAAGCATCCTGCATATATCTTGCGCACTATCAATAATGAGCCAAGACGCGCAGATTGTTGGAGCACATCATGGCGTCTCAGTGAATTCAAACCCGTGTTTCATGTATCCAGCCTACTTCAAGTGCGTATAGCTGCCTAAATTGGCAGAGATTCCTTTGGTGTGCATTCCATGATATAGGGTTGAACTGTTAACTTGCCGAGATTGGGAAACCAAGTTTTGACCGGGACACCCACTTTGACACTCATTTGCACCACATCATCATCGATATGACCATACCCAGGGCATTCCGGGGCAGACTTGGATACTCCGTATGTCGAGTTGTAACGGCAGCTTTGCCACACTGGTCCCCACGCATTGTGCCGGTGTTCTCGCTCAGGTACCTGGAGTTTGAAACTAAGCTTCACTCCAACATATATCGCCCAAGATGTTCCCACCTTGCGAGTATGACCAGGGAGACGGCGAGGAGACGGCGCAGTCGCTCGCTCCTTATGCATAGTAAGTCTCGCCTCTGCACGAACAATGAGTCTGGTCCGTTTGCATTTTAGGAAGTTCACTGGCCGTCGTTCCCGTCAGCATGGAAGTTTCGTTTGCAACCAGAATAAATATGCCCCATGTCAGCGCGACAAAATATGCCTTTGCTTTTGCGGATGAAGGACACAAGGTCGACCTCATCGATCTGAGCCCGGGCCTGATTGAGCTGGCACAAGCCGCAGGACGAGCGCGAGAGCAATGGCGACAAGGCGCTTCTTGACAGCATTGGCGTTGGAGACGCACTTGACGACACTATCCTCCAAGGCGGTGTTTACGATGCGGTGCTCCTTTTAGGGCCTCTCTATCACTTGGTCGCGGAGTCGGAACGCGCAGAGGCAGTTGCTAACGCCTTCCGGCTTGCAAAACATAGTGGCGTTATTTCTGTAGCATTTATAGCATTGCTGCGCATTTGAGGGATATTGCAATTCGAGAGCCGGCGAAACTCGTCCATGATGAAGCGTTTTCCACAAAATATGTTAGTGGTGTGTAGCGTTGCCCGATGGGCACATTGTTTCCGTTGCTAAACAGCTGCAGCTCCAAGATGGTCGGTACGAAAGGTTCAAGACAGGAATCGGAAATGTACACGGCTTCCACACCAAGGTTCGCGACATCAAATCCTTTTTCGCTCACAACCTTGCCGACACCTTGGAGTTGGTGGAGCTGAGGTCGCAAGAGGGAATATTGGGCGGCAACCTTCATGTACCCTGTCCAAGTCTGAGCCCAATGTTGTGCAGGCCTGGGCAGACTTGATGTATGAGAACTATTCTACTGGGGAGGAGCACTTGGGATGCGCGGATCATTTGGTTGCTGTTTTGAAGAAGAAGTAAGAGACGTGGTGCTGCGCGATTTCTCGCTCCCCTGCCGGTTGTGTCTCGCTTAGAGATGTCGTTGTTAGTACTAGATTACGCATTTGCTACAATGGATTTGAGAACCTTTCTTCAAGACATATATGCCTAGTCAGTACTGTACATAGTTGCTCTGTATTCAGCCTTGTTCACGTAGCAGCGCTGCTAGGCTGACACAACAGCTTATAAGCTGTATTCTCCACCAACGGTTCAGCCGCAACCAATATTTCCAGTCTCGCCCATCAGTTACTATGAGGGCGAAACTCTCATCATAAAAAAACGGGTCCTACGCTGGGCTGTATGCTGAATTTAACGACGGCAGGAACCCGCCATGGACATCTTTGCTGAACCAGACGACCCTATCCAGACCGTCCAGGACCAGACGCCGTATCTCTGCATCGAGCACTGGGATGGGGGCCTGTTTCGCACCTACGGCCATAGAAAGCACAAAACAAGCATTATACCAGTACTGCTGCGGACGGTTCCGGATATCCCCCCGGCAGACCAACCGTACCTAGAGAACCTGTACCCAACCCCGAAGGAGGAGCTCCAGCCGTTGATACAGACATGGCTGTACTTTGGGATGCTGGCCGAAATGCTGGGCTTGAACGAGATCGCGCCCGGTGTTCGGCTAGTCGAGGAAGCTGCCGCTACGGAGGAAATCTCGAGGCTGCACAAGCAATTGACCCGCGAGGAGAATGGGCAAACAGTTCTCACTGCCGCCGAGATCCTCACCTGGGGTCCGCTCTTCCTCGAAAGACTCCAGATGGCAGAGAACGAGTTCGACAGACTTGTTTACATACTCCAGTGCCTGCAGTGGGCAATGGTCATGCTGCACTCTACCCAGGAAAACATTGACCATGCCGTTCGCTACTCCATCGCCGCGCTGGGCGAGCTCTTCACCACGGGCATCTACGCCGCCGCCTCGTCGGCCCAGCCGAAGATCGAGTTGCCGATTTTGGGCATCTCCTGGCACCGAGACTATATTTGTCCCGGGGGCAGGGTCGAGCAAAAGATGGTACGCAACGGCTGGTGCCCCAGTGAGATTGAAAAGATCCGGTCGCAGCTGCAAGGTTTGTACACGATGCATTACACGAGCCAGTTGAAGAAGCCGACGCCTTGGTTGGACCATTCGAGCTGTGCCAAGACGTTTTGCGGCGCGTTTCGCATCGACATGAGCACATATGAGCCCGCCCATGTACAGGACGGTTGTGGGTGCGAGTTCATCGAGGCGGATCCGGCAAAGGTGGCGGGCATCTTGACAAATACCGATAGTTTCCCGGTTGTGCGGGTGGAAGGGGACTTGGACGATGTGAAGATTGTGGTTGAGGAGTTTGAGCAGGGAGTCTCTTATGTGGCATTGTCGCATGTACGTTGACCTGACGGCTTGTTGAGGGCGACGTATTGCTAACGGAAAAGGCAGGTTTGGGCGGATGGTCTCGGAAATCCGGCTAGCAATTCGCTCCCAAAGTGCCAAATTGCACGAATCAGCAAGCTTATAGACGACCTACCCAGGGCTCCTGGCAGCACAGAGTCTCCGCGGCTTTGGCTCGACACGTTGTGCTGCCCAGTCGAGGTGGAGAGCAAAATGATCTGCCTCGAACGCATCGCTGATGTGTATAGGAAGGCGCACCACGTTTTGGTGCTGGATACGAGTCTGACCGCATTCAAGTATGAAGGAACTAGCCCTGCCGAGCTGCTAGTTCGGGCGTTTGGCTGTTCGCCTTGGATGAGGAGGCTATGGACTTTGCAAGGTACGTGTACTGACGAACTGGGCGTTTTGTAGAGCTGACCGGTGACCCGTAAGAGGGCGCACTTGCGAGGACTCTCCAGATCCAGTACGCAGACAAGGCCGGGAACAATATCGCCATGTTGACGGACCTGTGGACGCTTGGCAAGCAGGATTCGCGATACATGCGAATATGGCAGGACGTGCTCAACGAGGTAAACTGCAAACTCATATAGTAGCGAAACCGGGCATTATAACAGTGGCAACAGTTTAGTCAACTACTCGGCTTCAGTCCCAAGACCGGCCCCGAAAACGTCCTCAAATGGCAGCAGCCGCAAGTCACGACTCTCCAGCGAACCCTCAACTTCCGCACCGTCTCCGTCCCCGCCGACGAAGCGCTCTGCATCTCAACCCTCATGAAACTAGACACGAAATACATTGCCGCTGGGAGAGGTGCCAGTCAGCGCATGAAACGGATGTGGGAAAAGCTATGCGAAGCAAACGGCGGCATATCGACCCGGCTGCTATTCTACTTGGACGAACAGCTCGACATAGACGGCTGGCGGTGGGCGCCGAGATCCCTCCTCGCGCCCGCCGTGCACGACCCTGTCCTCAGCATAGACGAGCGTGTCATGCGCTTTCACACAAGGGAGCCAGCCGATGCCTCGGACAGTGTCGTTCTTGGCACCCCGACGCCAATAGGGCTGAAGGCACGATTGCCAGGCTGCAGAGTTGTGCCGACGCCGCTCCTGCCGAATTTCCCATTGCACGCCTGGCCAGAGGTTATCCATTCGATTGAAGACCAGGTCGTTGCGCAGAATGAAAGCACAGGGCAGTGGTTCCGCATCATCGACTGGTACCGCAGCAAGAAAATATCCGTGTGGACGCGCGAACAGCGCCGCGAGTATGACAAGCGCGAGAACAATCCTCTCTGCAGGGCGATCCACACGGGCAAGTGCTGCCTCATCATGGATCAAAAGATGACTTTGGATGACGGCACCACGGCCAGTTGTTTAGTGCAGGTTGAAGAGCTAAGCTCGCAGGAACTGCGAGCGGTGGGACACACAGCCGAGGAGAAGCACCTGGCGTTGAAGGCCCGTCGGGAAAGAGCCGTCATTTTATCTCCGATCGACGAGAAGGAGGGAAAGATGCTGTCTAGAATCAAGGATCTAGCGATTGTCTTGGCAAAGGACCCGGTGACGGATGAGTTCTTGCAAATGCAGAAGAGTTACAAGCCGGGGCAGGAGGAGTGGGAGGCGGCGGAGCTTACGGTCCGGAGAAGGATGAAGGAGGTTGTGGAGGAGGCTTGGTACGCGGACGACGAGTTTCGGCAGACGATGAGAGAGTACACTGGTGACGATCTGGATGACTATGTGTGGGTGTTTGTGCCCAAGGTGTTTTCGCATGCTATTTGGTTGAGGGAGCTGCCTGAGAGGCAGTTGTGGTTTGTGGATTAGATTGTGCTCAGGGAGACGCAGTGCAAGGTCCTGACATGGTTTGTAGTCAATATCATGTGAAGATAAGTGTAGCAGCAGGTGTTGATAAGTTGTATAAAGTACAACTTGGTAGTTTGTGCCCGTGGCAACATCGTCGATTGGCTTTCACGTATTGTCCTTCTTTCCATTTTTATTTCAGATTTCTTCCAGATACCGGTCCAAGTCCTTTTTTGCCAGCTAACAAACACAATTCACGCAATGCTCTGGTAAAATATATATGAAATTAAGACAAAATAGAAAAGGTGTAAAAAGTTCCATCATATGTATACCAATTGTAGAATAACCAAGTATTTAGAGCAGTTTCCTAAGGCTTCAAATGATGGGCAGTAAGACTAGAATACCGCGGGTTTAATTCAAGCTATACAAAATATCATTGATATTTAAGAGTCTCCGTATGACTGTTTTAGGCCAAAGAGCAGCCCTCCATTTTACCCCATGCCACCCACGCCCGGCCACAGAAGAAGTGCCCCTACGTGACTTCAAAATTTGATATTTGCTACGACGGCATGGTGGCAGAAAGGCCATGATGACCCCCAATGACAGCCGGTTCGTCCTTGTCATACGCAGGACCCGAGCGTTCTCTACGACCCCAATCATCAAAAGCATCAAATAGCAGGTGATCGGTCAGTCAGGCTCAGCGAATCGATGAAATACGTCTCTTAGAAGAAAAATACGTGTGACATAAACGTTTGAGCAGGCGCACTCTACTTGTTGTCCACAACCTCCGTCAAGCCCACATATCGTTGAGACATCAGCGCAAGTTTACTGGCCACCATCTCTATTCGAGTCTGTAGATGAAAATGGTTTATTTTGACACAGAGCTTGACCTGTTAGATCTAGGACCGCCGACTGTGCTTACCAAGCAACAGATTCATGCTCTATTCCACGACATCCTTCGATAGAGTTCTCATTATAAGAATCCCAATTGAAGCCTAAGATTTGTGGGTCATATGTGCCCTCGTGCGCCGTGGAGTCTTCCAGAGCCGATTTCACTTCCCGTGCAATACTCTCTTGGGCCGAAACCGGACGCGAGTCTCCCAGCCGTGCATGCACGTCTGGGTAGCGGCTGTAAGCTCGATGCCATGCACACCTCTGTCATACCAGGAATAAAAAAAGCGTGCTTAATGGGTTCATTTCCCAAGTCGCAGACATCTTCCTCTCGCGCGGGTTGGCCAGCCATGGCATGGGGCCCGTCGTTGTAAGCCAGGTAAAGGCCATACAGGGCCGGACCCCTGCCACTAACCAGACCAGCCGACGGTATATGTAAGTGACATATGTGTTAGTTATTTGGCGAGTCTCTTGAGAAATAGCGGCCCTGTTGACGTCCGACTTCGCCGCAAAAAGCCGTCATCGTCTGCGTCAAGGCCGAAGTGTTGGAAGTGTCAATGGCTTCCGGATCAATCCTGGATTCCATTAGTCTTCGGTAACCGATAAAGCAGGGGTCAAGGATATCTTACGCCGCTGCCTGATTCTAGGGAAAAGCAACATCACGGCATAGACTTAGAGTAGCTGCAATAAGTCCAACGACTTTGAGGAACAACATTGCAGTGCTTTGTGGCTTCTTGATCAGAATAAGACTGTGAAATTCCATTTTATGGGCCAGATTCAATACTGTAAAAGTAGGTCTGATGTTTGATGGAGATTTTTTCGAACCACAAGCAAGAACCTTGGGCCCCTTTTATATACGATTCCAAAGCTGGCCATAGCCTCACACTTGCCGCCGGAATTCCTCAGTGATACATATTAAGGTTGAGTGTGATGTGTGCATTCATGCCTACATGTAGCTTGCAACATCTTGCATTCCCACCGACAAGTACGTGCATTCAAAAAGAAAAATTTCAGGTTGATGGAAAATTTACAAGCTAACAGGAGCATGTTGACCCTGTGATGTCTCTGGGAGACGCAGCAGCTGTGTATCATGACCCATCACGTCGAGAGGTCGCATCCTCGGTAAGATCTAACGGCGATATTCCATAGTGAGGAGTCATAATATAAGCAATGTAGTCATCACGATGCACAATGTACTATGCGTTTAAATAAAGTGGCGCACAAAATGGCCCTCGTAGTCTCACCACGCTTCTAGCATTTTACAATGACGGAGTCGAGGCCAGCCGCTGCATGGTGGGTTTAATGGAATACCCGTATCTGAAATGCCACTGCGGATGGCTCAAAATTGAATAAATCATAGCTAGCCATGTAAATTGGCCAAGCGATAGCATCGCATCATATCTTCGGTATGTCTCAGTTATGTAACTTCATCTCTTGGCTTAAACCCAATGACTTATACCGAGTCGAGGAGCAACCTAATGAAAAACCATTTCCGCGGAAAACAGTTTGTACCGGCCTGCATTAAGGAGGGAGCCAAATAATAGAACTGGAAATATCGGTGAATGATTGCTTCCCAACAATACCTTTGGTCAGAGTCCCGGGGTATGTAGAACTTGCAACTGATGCCTCGAGGAATTCTTTGTCCGTCGCCGAGGAGGGCATATATGTAGAAAGGGATATCTTCTGAATAGATGTGCTGGCGTGAGAGTTCTGTAGGTCTTTTCCCAGTCTCTGTGTCCCATAGTCTGGGTGTTTCATCTACTGCAGCCGATGACACATCCGGTCGGTGAAAATGCAACACCGGGAACTCGGTAGGTGTGTCTTGGTTTATGTGTCAACAAGTACGTGATTTAGGTCACCAACTGAGACATCTAGAAGATTCCAATTAGGTTGGAAGGTTCGAACTGGGTTTAAGGTCCAAGTTGGAAGCTAGCTCGAAAGAAACCTTGGGATTAAGGACCTATCTGTATATGCTTTGAGCTTCTCAAAACTATTCCCCTCGATTTTATCCCATCATCTAACATCCATATCACGCGAACTTGTCGAAAGGAGCGACTGTTTTAGTGAAAGGACGAGTGATCAGACACTGGGCGAACCTGTCGCGAGAAAACCGGCTATGTAGTGAAAGGCAAATATTACATAATAATTTCATGTTCTTGAAGTGTATGTAGCTTCTAGTGCCCGTTCTTGATCCCAAAATTTAACTGCATCACCGCCTGGATCCGACTCGAGGAGACGATCAGGGCGTGCAAATGCAGCAACATGACCCCAGCAAGTATGACCACTGAACTTTCATGACTTCTCTCCCGTTGATGAATTCCATTTTCTAAAAGTTCTGTATCCGCAAGCTCATGCAGCAAGCTGACCATTTGGTAAAATTTAAGGGCGCGTACCGGTTTCGTAGGTCTGCCTAGCATCTAGACCCGCCTTTGAGTGCCACAGTCTGACTGTTGTATCTGAGAAGCTGATGCAAGCAGTTTCTCGTGCGGTGAAAATAGCCTCTACTCATACCGAGGGTATCCAGGACCATAATCTGTCACGGACGATGCCAAAGTGACCCATATTGCAGCCTCATGATATAGTGTGTAGAGAGGAGTTTTGCCTGACATTGTATAGGCCAATCTTCCATTGTAGTACCGCAAACTTCAAAAAGTGTCTTCCGCTGCATACAAAAATCCCCAGTTGCCATGTCTCAATATCAGTTCGCTTGTGACCAGGTGCACAAGGGAGGGGACCGACAAGACCAGACTGTCTTCTTCACCTTGGCCTGTGGCCGCTGCCGCCGCTTCCACCTCCAACCAGCCCGAACTTCCTGTAGCTACTTGCGCGCCTGAAAACATAGAAGGTTCTTTCCTGTCACACACTGGAACATTACGCAAGCTAACAATCCCAAAACGACACAGAAAACGATTATCATCACAAATGCCCCTCCTGGACTGGATAACTGAAACCGTCCGTAAATTGTATGTGCATCGTTCATACGCGGGAAGGAAGAAATCACTGCCGGGGGCATCTTGCGGCTGGGAACTCTGATTGTATAGTCAGTATTGGATGTTATGTCAATGTTGAAGAACTAGTTTAGCATACGGACTTTATCTGGTGGTTCTGAGTATCGGTTCTGAGTATCGGTTCTAATTATCGAAGCAAAAATAGACACACAATATCTGAAAGAGGTGAGATTCAGAGTTGTAAAAAGCTTACTCGATGAACCGTAGAAGCGACGGGGAAGCGGTAAATATAATTGGACTTGATCTTTCATTGATGACGCACATGATACACAATATTTCAAAGCCCCCTCTCCAGCTTTGTGCCTGTGATTGAAAACTTTTATTTCACTGTAGACAAAGCCTCTCTCTAAGAAGCCATGAAGTCCTTATTGTGATATGCATACAAAGACAAATTTTATTTCTTTGCCCCAGCTTGAACAGCTGACAAGGACCTACAGACCATGAATGAACTGTTTTCTTTTTTTGCGCTCAGCCCCGTTGACCTTACGAGTCTTGTCCATACAGTTGTGTAGGTCACACGCCGCCCCCTTCGAGTTCGACTGCGAACCCCCCCACCTTCTTTTTCCCCTTCATTGACTGCTGCATAGGTGGATGAGTCCATGATCGAGACGGTCTCTGCTTCAGCCCCGACTTTTCCCATACTTCGTAGCCAGTTTTCCATACTAGGTCTGATACCAACGTGAGCCTTGCCATAGGTGTAAGCAAAGCTGCCGCCACTGATTAATTTGGGTCTTTTGAAGCTTTTAAACTCGAGCCTGTTGAATCTATTCATTTTCCCCTCCAGAGGCCCAGCCGGGGCCCGTCTGCGGCACAACGTTGCTTGTGATGTTGAGTGTCACACCGTTAGGCCGCAACAAAGGCGTTAGTCCAACAACTGTTACACAGCAACAAAGAAGGTCCGTGGCATCATGAGACGCGAGGTCGACCCTGAGGCGAGAGCTGCCTGAGGCCTCAAGGTTTCACCGACTCCTTGTATTTACAAAGACCCCTATCCCCTCAAGGTCACTAAGAAGACTAGGGACCTTTAATATCTCAAAGCTGAATATTAAATCCTGGGCCTAGTGTCATTTCCCTTGTCACATTGAGGTGCTTACAATCTTCAACACCAAAACGGCAGGATCACGATAATATATGAAGGCACGTACAGGTATTATCAGTTGAGCCAATTATAATGATTTAAGATGATCTAAATTAATTGTAAGTTAAGTTTAACCTATATAAAGTTTGAATTATATGGTGTAGTACTCGAAAACTCTTAATAAAGAAGTAAACTTAGAAGGTAAATTTTATCTCTTCCCCTTTGCTTAATAATGGATCACGTATTTCACGATGCTGCATAAACCACAATCTCTCGGAAAGCACCTGAGATATTTGTAGACGTCAAGGGAATGAGAATCCTCTTGCAAAAATCGAACCTACGTGGCATTGTGATAGGCTCCAATTAGTGTCTTCTATAGTGGCTGCTTTGATATTTTGCGCTATTTGGGCAAGTAGTTCGCCCACTTACTCGTCAACGCGTAGTTTTTGCCGCTTTTTCAATACTTTCTCATACGACTGTTCAAGTATAGAACGAGGTCTCTGAGTGTGGCAATAGCCTCCACGATGCTGACTCTGACAGGAACGGACTCGCGAAGGCCCAGACATGTCGGAAGTTTGGGAGCTGATATTGAGAGTGGTGTGCCACCCACGGTTGAAACGACGGCAAGTTCCTTGAAGAGGCACAAAAGGGATGCTCTGCAAACGGAAACATGACTGGATAGGTGCCGCCACGGGTCGAGAATAGATTCATCCTCACAAAGTATTCGGTGACTTAAATAACATTGGCTCAAGGGTGTTAGCTATAGCCTATCGGCTAGCAAAGGTGGCTTTGACTTTATAAACTGGCTCAGGAAAAGAGAACTTAACTGCTAGGTGACCGGAAAAGAAATATTTTAGACTGCACTATCCAGCCTCGTTGAATCCCTTAGTCTGTTATGCACTGTTGAATTATCTACGCCCAGTTACTAGTGTTGGTATGTCATACCAAGCATCACGCATGCTTGTAGCAACCCCCAAGCTAATCAGTTTTGAGATATGAAAGAGTTTGTTTGCAAGGGAGAATTGCTGTTTCCCTATTACCTTATGCATTCTCGACTTTGCCGGCTGAGAGATTATCGAAACTCCCTGCTCTTGGGCTGAAGGGCGAGCCGCGACGATGCAGTACTGGTATTTATCTTGGTTGTTTCCAGATAATAAACGAGCAGATATATCGTACAACTACGGTGAATGAATAAAGGAAACAACATGAGACCTTAGGAGATTGTGAAATAAACCACCCGGGGGGCTGAAGCGTTCTTTGGCCGATAGCCGCTCCAGGACATACTTAACCCTAACCCTAACCACTCAAACCCCAGGCTAACCCTACTCCCTGAATACAAGGTCCAGTCCATATTCTCGAGGGATCCGGTTAAATATTGCGCCCAATCAATTGACAGAATGGTATTGACTCTAGATTGACAGCTCCGTGGATGTCCAACATCTATTGATGCTCTGCTATCAAGGTCAGTCGCTTAGTGACCAACACAGACTCTAGCCGGAGCTCAGTTCAGTGAAACCTCTCCCTTCAAAATGCAACCTCGGATCTTGCCCGCATGACGATGCGCAAGCGGGGGACACATTCAGACCAAACACAGGCGCCGCAATGCATAAGGTCGATTGACCCAGTTTAACCTCTCTCGACTCGGGACATTTCATCTCGCACCGCCATCATGAAATCTTCACTCCTCCTCGGCATGATTCCCGCCGCCATCGCGCACACGCCAGACTTCAAGACGTCAGAAGCCGGCAATCCGTTCGTCGACGGATTCTATGCCGACCCGGACAACGAATTCTACAACAACCAGTACTGGGTGTACCCGACCTCGTCGTACGAATATGACAAGCAGACGTATCTCGACGCCTTCTCGTCGCCAGACCTCGTCCACTGGACCAAGCACGCCAACGTCCTCGTCGCCTCAGACTTCAAGTGGGCACGCCGCGCCGTCTGGGCACCCGCGCCCATCTCCCGCCACGGAAAATACTACCTGTACTTTGGCGCCAACGACATCCAGACCAACTCTGAGCTGGGCGGAATCGGAGTTGGCGTCGCCGACCAGCCCGGGGGGCCGTACAAGGACGCCCTCGGGAAGCCGCTCATCGGGCAGTATTACAACGGCGCGCAGCCCATCGACCAGGACGTCTTCATCGACGACGACGGCCAAGCGTACATCTACTACGGCGGGCACGGACACGCCAACGTTGCCAAGTTGAACGACGACATGGTGACCATGGGCACCTTTGACGACGGCGCGTCGTACAAGGACATCACGCCCGAGAACTACGTCGAGGGGCCGCAGATGATGAAGCGGAACGGCACGTACTACCTGTTCTGGAGCGAAGGCGGCTGGGGCGGGCCAGACTACGCCGTCTCCTACGCCATGTCGGAATCGCCCACCGGTCCGTTCAAGCGCCTCGCAAAGATCTTGCAGCAGGATCCGGCCGTGGCCAGCGGCTCGGGGCACAACGGCGTCATCCACGTCCCCAACACCGACATCTACTACATCGTGTACCACCGCCACCCGCTCGGTGAAAACATCGACGCCAACGACCGGCACCTGGCCTATGACCGGCTGTACTTTAACGCAGACGGCACGATCCAGCCCGTCAGGATGCTGGTCCACGACAACTTCAACGACGGCAACATGATAGGGTGGACGACCTACGGCGGATCCTGGGACGCGAAAACCAACGCCCTCAAGGCTGGAGCTTCTCCCGGCGGCAAAGCACTACTAAACACCAACTTTGGTGACGTTGATTTCTCAGCCGACGTCAAGATTCCTTCCGCCAACGGCGGCGACGCAGGCCTCGTGTTTCGGGCCGCAAAGCCTGCGCTTGGAACGGATGCGTACGACGGATACTATGCCGGTATTGGCACGTCCGGGAAACTGGTACTGGGCAAGGCGAAGGGCGGTTTGTGGACGCAGCTGGCGTCTGTAAAGGCCGATATTGTCCCTGGCAAGACGTACCGCGTGAGGGTGACGGCGAAGAAGAACGCAATCAGTGTGTACGCGGGGGAATCGACGACTGCGCAGCTTCATGTGCTGGAGGGCACTTTTGCAAGCGGCATGAATGGGGTCAGGGTGTTTCAAACGGATGCTGTATTTGACAATATCAAAGTTGAGCATTTATAGTCTGGCAGAATATACTTGCCCATTAAGAGCATACACTAGTATTGTAGTAAATTGTGTATGGAGCGCGTTCCAAGCCGAACAAGAGTTTAATCACAGCGGGAAATCCCGTGTATTTTTTTTTTTTTTTTTTTTTTTTTTTTTTTTTTTTTTTTTTTTTTTTTTTTTTTTTTTTTTTTTTTTTTTTTTATGTTTTTCGTCCTTCAACCCAGTCTAGTTATTATATCCAAATACTATCCACCCGTAGAATCTCGTAAAACCATAAAGTCGTCATTGTAAATCCCAGAATGCACGCTCAAGAGAAGTGGCATGTATGCAAAAATCGCTCCGAAATGCATGCAATACTGCACTCTCGAATTCTTCGAATGTTCGCTCCTGAATCCCGACAAATGCCAATTCCCAGCGTTAGGCTGGCATGGAGGGCCTTCTAAACCCCCGACGGCGGTTGTTCTCCATCCTCTGCAATGGACACGCCGAAAAAGCAATGGCGATGAGCCCGTGTATAAACCATAAGTTGCGTGCCTCTTCCAAATAACCCAAACCTCCTTAAATGCGTCTATGAAAAGAAACGGGTTCTCCGTTTCTTCGTTCCTACCCGACTGATGAAAAGTCGCCGCGGATTCCTTCATTTATTTTACCGAACAGCCCTTTTCTCTGGACAATATATACTTTGCATGCTGTATTTCTGCCTCGTCGCCCGGCTTGGTTCGCGAGTGCTCATGCCTAGACGTCTCCACCACCCTTGCTCGGTCAAAGTCAATGATCATGATGCGCTTCGTGTCAGGGTTGTAGAGCATATTGGGCTGTCGTATATCGTTGTGGACAACGCCTTTGCTGTGCATGGCTCGAATCGACTGACACGCCCCATCCGTGAGCCGCTTGCTAAGGCCACTAGGAAGCTCAAGGCTGGATAGCGTGCGGCCGCCCCAGGAGAAGAAGGTGACGTGTACTATGTAGACGCGGTGGTCATAGTAATAGATCTTGTTCATGGGTCGGAGGTCAACCGCCCCCAAGAATACAGGTATACTGGTGCCTTGCATGTGCTTGAGACGCTTGTAAATGCCAGCTTCGTTCTCAAGGCGCTTGATGAGAGGCGCTGGAGTTCCCTTGCCAATAAAAGTATAACCGTAGCGGAGTAGAGTGACTCGGAATAGCGCGCCAGATGCTCCGCTGATGTGTAGCGAGGTAATGCCATCATCCAGAGACTTTTTCCACTGCTCTCTAAGAAGTTCAAGCCACGTAGCATGGTTGACAGGGTGGTAGGTCTTCACCTTCATACCAGACGGGGCAGGTCCATTCCCCATGTGTCGTGACACATTGGGACAGCGCATATCGAGGAAATCGCCATTGACCAAGCCAATTAAACATTTCTGGGTGCAGTACTGCTCGCCGCGAGTAGAATTTCTGCTTGATGCGGCCCCTCTTGACTGAGAAGTGTTCTGGCGTCCCCGGGCTCCGCGTCCTCGGGTTGCACGTCCTCGACTCCTTGTCCGCCGTACAGCAGGACTGGGCGAATCTGGGGCATTCTCCTCTGCTTCGTCGTCGGAACTCGGTGGAGAACGTCTCCTGGCTGGTCCTCTTGCCGGCTCATCCCCCTCCCTTCGCCGAAGGTTGTAAGCCAAGAACGGCGACCAGTCAACGTTCGAATATGTCTTTGGCCTCGAAAAATCCGGGTCTACGGGAGATCGTGGTTTGTGATTATCAGGAGACATGTCGAGAAGCATTTGGTCAATATTATACTTCCATCTTTGCAGATTCTTTTTGACAGTTTCGCGTTCCTCCTGACCTCGTTCCCCATGTTGGTGGTGCTGACTTAGAGCTAATAGAGTGAATGACAAATATTGACCAACAGCGCTGCAAGAGATGATACCGTCAGGGTGGTGTGCGGGAACCTCGGACTTGGGCTCGGCCAAATGGTAGAGAAGTGTGCCTGGATTACTCCAGTCGACTTTGAGAAATACTGTTGCCTCGCCATTAGACATAATCCCGTAGCTGACGCCGCCCTCGATCATGTAATGATAAGCCTGTGTGACTGCAGCAGCCGTGAGCTTTTTAGCGCAGTATCGAAAGTAGGCCCGTTTATTCTGCTGGCTGGGGATGGTTGGATGGTTGACAATGTCCTTGTAAATATCCATCGGCTGCAAGCCGGTGCGAAGTTGCTCCTTGGTTAGTTTGTGAGGAGGTTTATATTCCGCGATGAAGATCAGTTTGCGTTGTTCTAGAGACCCATCCTCACTCTCGGCTTTGTATATGCATATTCGGTCGGGCCGAAGCTGATCAGAGTCGAGTTCTTGATTAGCTGGCACTTGCGGAACTGTATTGACTTGACTGTCAACTCGCAGATTCACATCACTGATGGCGCTTGGGTAGCTCGCGAAAATGATGCCTCTTCCGATGCTATATCGATCCTCAAGTATATCCTTTTCCCTCACTTGCTGCACAATTTTTTGAACCGGGCTCTCCACGGCGAAGCGCATGAAGTCCCTCAGCATATCTTCGTCGGCAATCGGTGAATCTGACAATTCTTCGCCCATGGCAGACAGAGCATGTTGGGACTTGAAAAGTCGATCGTTTTGGGGAAAAGACTGAAATAGCTCCCTCAAATGAAATCTTTGTTCGTCCAAGAAATCTGCCCACACCGCAAGACTTTTTGGACATAGTTTGCCGGTTGGAGTATTAACGGTCCCTCGAGACCTGAGAGTTTGGTCCTGCTCCACCTTCAACTTCAAAAACACATCTGTATGACAAGCCTTGATAAATTCTGTCAGAGTTGTGGGGCGCATTTCTTGCCGAAATTGCTCGTTTTCCAGTTGAGATTCATTTAAAAGCCTTCTGAGCTTTTCAATCTCCGTTTCCCCAGCCATGGCGATAGTTGGCTAGGAAGGTCACAGGCTAGGCCTGTCTTTAAGGAACGGTTGGTTGGTGACTTGGTTGTCGCGCCGCGTTCGTCCGTTAAGTGGTTGTGGGTCGGGCACGCCTCAGGGCGGCGCTTAGTAATCTATGTTGCGAATATCAGTGAGGGAGATTTTCCAAGAATAGTATATGCATGGTTGTAATCTGCGGCAGAATATATCGAATAATAAAGAAGTATACACTAATATACTATAGTCTACTTAAGTATACTATAGTATGTTAGTGTAAACTTGTGTATCTTCCCAGGTGAAGTACTCTTTGCCCCTTGATATATTTAATATTATAGCATCGCGTAACGTACCTTATGTTTCAGGATGAGTATGTGGATGTACTTTAATGTAGTAAGTATAGGAAGAAATGATAAATGATAAAAGCACAGTATGGCACAATATGGCAATAGCTGGGTATATCAATAATCAGAGTATAAAATGTGATAAGGTGGTGTTGGAGAAATAAGAGTTGAGAATGAGTGTTGCTTGGTGACTCTGTGGCAAGAAGCTAAAAGGTCGAGTGAAATTCGGTGGGAGGAGGATCTCTATTTATCTTGGCCGGAAGCATTCTCGTCGCCAGCTGCTGTAACCCACAGTAAAAGACACTCAAAATCACGATTCACAAGCATAACGTGAACAGCCTCAGTTTACCGTTAGAAGTTGACTTTTGCGGTCAACTCGATGTATTTGAATGTCAAGTGATTTATGATTGAAGCGCATAGACCAACTTTGCCAGTCCATGCTGCAGCCCTGATGCGTCAGTTGGGTATCAAGACGAATGAATATCGTATTTGATTCTGCCCGGACCAACAGGCAGAATCTGTTCGCAGGCTCTTTTGCCGTTGCCCAGACCAGAGAGTAAGCGGCCGTGCGTATGGCAGCCTAACAGCCAACCAAAGTGAGCTCGTCGCGATTCGACGGCGTTGAACATTTGTACGACACGACCTTCTCAACTTGCTCTTTCTAGCCGGGATCCGGCCTAGACCGCATATTGCAGGAGGCCCGTGACGTTGCCTTGTGGACCCATGACATGGCGAATATGCATCTCTCCACATAAGTTGATTATATTTACTAAGTGAGCGCGAGTTCCTTTCGTGTGTCACCAGTTCTGCGCAGCCAGAGAAGTCACCTTACCCGGCCTTAAAAGCGAACCCCATCTACCTGCTGCATGCTGCTCACTGATTTCAATGTCGGGCGCGATACCATAGTAGCTTATTGGTTGTCTCCGTGTCTCCTGCAATCCTAAACTTGGGAACGTTGGTCCACAGAGTAGGTCCGGGCTCGTGTTAACGCTCTTACTGGTGAATGTGTCCGGGCTCTCCAGGCAGACGCCAAGTCAAGCATGACACAACAAACAGAAAAATTATGGAATCAGCGTCTCCTCGGCGGTATTCGCAGGCCAAGATATGCAACTAGTCATATGCTGCGAGGCATCGGCCGCAGCCTTATTACGAGAAGTCGCTCGCAGCCTCGTGGCAACTTGGCAGGACACCAATGGCCCCGATCACTTTCAAGGTCCCCAGCAGGCGTGGCCTCTGTGGGAGGCCTGGACAAGACAGCAGATGAACTCGACGCGTAGACATGTGTTTCATGTCCAGATGTGGCCAGTGCTGCAGGGCTCCGTGCTGTGCCGTTGAGATCGGAGCCGACATCAACCTTGACTGCAAGGTTGGCATTTGGATATGCTCCATTGTGCCGTTTCTTGCGGACACGTTTATTTGGCCACTGTCATGAAGTAGGATTTCAGGATGTTTTCGTAGTATATCATGTCTGCAAGAGACCTGGCCAACAAAGCTCATACTAGAACGATACGAGAGAGGGAATGGAGGTGGAGTGAAATATAGATGGTTCGTAAAGCAGCGCTAGGCATGTCCCGGGTATTGCATATCCATGACGGCGCTAAAACCAAGTGGAGACGGCCGGGGGGTCTCCGCAGAGTCTGGCGGTGACATCCCGCGCGCTAGTGTTCTGGCCCAATAGCCGACAATCCATTGGATGTCAACTGGTCGGTAAAAAAAGTCTCCCATCTCCAACGTCTCCGTTGCCTTGTGCTATCAGCCAGCCCTCTACACATGCCCTGACTCGAAATTGCGACACTGCATCTCGACTGTATCAACCAGGCCCCGTCTACATCTCAAGACTCAGACCGGGTCTCGCAGAACCGACGCTCGACAACATCAGCGGTGCATCACAACCAGACTGACGTTGCAGGGACCCCTCTTCCCCAAATTTCCTCCCCTCACTTCGCCTCACCTCCATGCCCACATGGGCCACATCCCAGCAACAGCACGTGTGTGTCTAAACCATCCTGTTACAGAGCGTGAAAAAGCCACAAATGCCCACCAAGGTACAGACCGTCCCCGGTCGTCTGTCACCACCCCCAGAATACAGATCCAAGTCATCTCGAAACGGCCCTCGCTCTCGAAACGGATGCTGGACCTGCCGCACCAAAAAGGTCAAATGCGACGAAGTACGGCCAAAATGCTGCCGCTGCCTCCGCCTCAAGTTGCTCTGCGACTACTCACCGCGCATGAGGCAGAGCATGGCCATGCGCATACTCGGCAGCAACGCCAGGGCCGCCATCACCAAGCCCTCCCAGAACCCTTCATCGCCCAAACTGCCGATACACATGTGTGAGCTGGCGAACAGCGCGTCCTCGATAGATCTGACGTCTGCAGACCACGAGGCCATCCGATATTACCGCACCACCTTTGCCAGGTTACACCACACAAAGAACCCCGACTACGGCCTGTACGCAGTCATCTTCAACATCGCCGAGAGTGAGCCCATCGTGATGCGCGTCGTCCTGGCCCTCGGAGGCCAGGAACTCGAGTTCCGGAAGCGGCGCTCCGAAGAAGAGCTGGCTGGGACATGCACCGTCACGCCCCTGCACCACTATGCGGCGGCCCTGAGAATGCTGGCCGAGGCCGTGGACGGGAGTCCCGGACCCGACGGCCGGCAATTGGACCTGGACGCCATCCTGGCAGCCATCTTCCTGATGCTCTGGTACGAGCAGAAGTTTGGCGACGCGTCCTGCCGCGGCTTCGCCAACCATCTAGCCGGCGCGGCGCGGGTCGTCGAGCATAGATGCCGCAACGAAGTCTTTAAGCGTGCCCTGCACGAGCCCCTACGCCAGGAAAAGAGGCTGGCTCTGCTGCGGATGGGCGACGACGCCCGAGATGGAGAGCGCATACTTTCCCAGTTCTCCGCCCGTATGCTGGTCCATCTCTGCATCTACGATAGCATGGCGGCTGGGTATGGCCTGGGCGGCCGCCTGATCGAGACGCTGAACCAGGCGCTGGCGTTCAGCAACGGCACGTCGCTGTATGTAGACAAGGCGGACTCGCTGCACAGGTTCTCGTACGGGCTCTACCGCGTCGTTTGGGGCCAGGACTACCCACAGGAGGAGATGCTTGACGACCTGGAGAACCGCACAGTCTACTGTCTGGCCGCGTCGGTCGTGCAGCTGCGATTCATGATTTCTCGTCTGGAAAGCCTTGGCGTGGAGGCCGCCGGGACGTGCCTCTCCGCGATTGAGGCCGTCTACGAATCTACCGACGACAAGTTTGAGGAAATCCTCGGCATCGCAGACGCCCTCTCGCCCAGCTTTGACAGCGCAAACCGCCTACTGTCCAACATCCGCCAGATCGTGCCGCAATACTACGGCACCAAAATCCAGCTGGCGCGTGCTGTCCGCAAGCTGGGACAGCCGAGTAAGCTGCCGACCGAGGAGCTTGTCGGACTCGCCATGTCGCTGTGCACGCAGGCGCTCCGGCACAATGGCAACGATGCCATGCTCAGCGTGGCCAATGCCCTTTTTGCGGCGGCCATCGAGACGAGCGACTCGTCTCGCAGAGATTGGTTCATTGCCAGGTTCCAGGCCCTCTGCGCGTATGGGTGCAATTATGCCCGTGCCCATCGAATGCTGGTGCGCGCCGTGGCGGCCAGGAGTCGTAATGGCATGGCTGGCCCCCTTTGCGAGGAGGAGGTTTCCGCCGCCATGTTGTCTGAAAATGGAGACCCCGAAAGATTTGTTATCTGAGGCGGCATCAGCGTTCGTTTGTCCAGGGCTCAGGGGCTTGACACCTCCGAGCTGGGCGCTGCATCGACGTGGCCGTCTTATTGCCATTTTGTGCGTATCATGACGTGCTTCGAATCTGCGTGGTGTACTACATGAATGCGCGTAGAGTAGAAGTATCTATTTGATCAAGGTGACGAACCCATAGCATGCTGTATACATGTAAGCCAGAGGATACCAGTAGAACTACGAAAAAGCATCAAGATGGAAGCAGTATGCAAGCCACATGGCCGAAACCAACCAGTATCACTCTTGAAAACGCCTAGTATAATCATGCCCCGAGCTACATGTAGATTCCCGACGCTCGGCTACATTCCCATGGCATCATCAGATGGACGGGTCTAGCGCAGCCACGAGATCCACTGTACGATCGAGCACCCCTAGTGCAAGGGTGGCGGCGCCATGCCAAGGTTTAAATTGGCTGGGGGCAGAATTATATCCTGTTGTGCGGGGAAGGAACTTAAATATTCTCGATGTGTCAATTACGGCGGACTTGGGGATCACGGCTCTGTAGGTGACAAGTGCGGTTCTGGTGCCCTGCTTGCATGGTTTTCATATCATATTTGCTACCAGTTCATCAGTTGACATGAAATGTATGATGCAAAGTTCATAACTTGGACTGGCAAGTGCAGTAAATACATGTGTATCAATAGATTTGCTGTAACTACCTAGGTAGCGTCCTATCAGTTCTCCACGCCGCCTTATCTCAACAAGGGCCGGTCTAGTCCATCCCAAAACTTAGATAACATTCTCACCACCATCTCGCGGCCCAGGCATCGGGAGGGCACCTCCGCCGGATAACCCATGGTGTGGCGGATAGTAGACTCCTTGCCGCCTTGGGTAGTGTGAGTGACGATGCAACGTCGGGGCTGCCCATCGCGCAATGCCACATGCAGTCTGGTTTGTTGCCATGGAGGGAAGTACAAAAGGTCGGGTGCATGGTGGTCAACTGGTGTCTCAGTCTCGTTGATCTGGCTCGCTGGAAATGCACGGGGTTGGATGCCCGCAGTTGAGTTGCGCACGGTTTGCGCCATTGCCTCGATTTTCTACTCTTCACACCTGCCTACCTGTTGACAATTTAATACCCCGTTCGACCACCGCTGATCCCTTTACAAGCGGTTGCTGTTGCTTCCTCGTCACCTGTAGGCCTCAAGGAACCGGCATCGCCACGTTGGCTACGGCATGGCGGAAAAGGTCGACATCGAGCGCATCATGCGCGGTTCGCAGGCGGAGGTGGTCAAGCTCGGCGAGATTTCGAACCAAACGCTCACCCCGGGAGAGGATAAGCGGATACTGGGGAAGATTGATAGATGGTATGTTTCACCAGAACCATGTACTCCAACGCCCGCTTGACGTGAATCTGACGCCCCGCGATGCGCAAGGCTTCTCCCCGTCATGGCATTCTCCTACCTCTTCCAATTCCTGGACAAGTCCGCCCTGGGCTTCACCGCCATCATGGGCCTCCGGACGGACCTGCGTCTCACGGGCGAGGGGTACTCGTGGTCAAGCGGCATCTACTACTTTGGCTACCTCGTCGCCTCGTACCCGGCGGCCATGCTGATGGTGCGCTGGAAAGTCGGCAAAGTCATCACCATGTCGGTGTAAGTTTTCCCACAGTTCGCAAGGAACTCAACCTCGGCTGACCCTCTGGCAGCCTCGTCTGGGGCGCCGTCCTCATGCTCACGGCAACCGCCTTCAACGCCGGCTCCCTCCTCGCGAACCGCTTCTTCCTGGGCGTCACCGAGGCCTCCATCGCGCCGGGCCTCACCATCGTCGTGTCCATGTGGTACAAGCGCCACGAGCAGCCTCTCCGCCACGCGGCGTGGTTCCTGGGCAACACCTGCGCCGGCATCTTTGGCGGCCTTGTCGCGTACGGCATCGGCCACGTACAGAGCATCACGCCCTGGAAGGCCGTGTTTCTCACCTTTGGCGCCGCGACGGTCGCCTGGTCCGTCGGCATATACTTTCTCTTGCCGGACACGCCCATGGAGGCGAGGTTCCTCAGCAAGCAAGACAGAGAAAAGGCCGTGCTGCGTGTCAAGGAGAATATGACGGGCATCAAGAGCGACAAGATCAAATGGGGACAGGTCAAGGAGGCCCTGCTGGATGCGAAGACGTGGTTGATTGTCGCGCTGCAGCTGGTCTCGTGCATTCCGAACGGCGCCGTGACCACAGTAAGTTGTCTTCCACCGCACATGTAATCGAACCACTGTGATGGTGTGTAGTTGACTTTTTCTTTTTTTTTCTTTTCTAGTTTTCAAACATTGTTGTTCAGGGCTTTGGCTTCAGTACCTTTGATACCCTGCTTCTCGGTTGCGTCGCCTACCTCCTCCAGCTGGTCCAGGTGCTCTTCGCCACCGGGGGAAGCAGCTACTTTGCCAACTCGCGAACCTACTTCATGGCATTCAACTACGCTATTGGCGTGACTGGCGCGGCAATGGTGCGATATACCGCCCCCGAAAACAGATGGGCGCGGTTCGCCGGCTCTGTGCTGGCAGGCGGGTATGGCGGCAACTTTCCGTTACTCATGTCCCTCATGTCTGGGAACGTTGGGGGCTTCACAAAGAAGACGACGGTGAATGCCATGGTATGTTTTTGTCCGTTGTAAGGATTGCCTGGTTTGCTTGGTGGTTATCTTGGCCCATGTTACTAACGGGGATTTGGGGAACAGTCCTTCATCGCCTACTGCGCCGGCAACATCATCGGCCCCCAGCTCTTCTTTGCGCGCGAAGCGCCAGAATATCTATCGGGGTTTTTGGCACTCATGATATGCCTTGCGATGGGCTTCGCCTTGTGCTGGGTCATTCGGTTCCATCTCATGTGGGAGAATAGCCGGCGAGATAGGGTGGTCAGCGCCGAGGAGGTTGCCGCGTTTGACGAGGCGCGGCATGGCGTCATGGTGAACTTGACTGATATGACGGACAAGGAGATTCCGCAGTTCAGATATGTGTACTAGTTGGTGGAAGAGGGCTAGGGATCTTAATGAGCGTGGCGTATGAATGAAAATGCTTCATTCTTGCTGTCATGTGTGAATTGATGAAGGCATTTTTGAGTTGTGAATGAATGCGGGTTTTGATGGCAACTCGGAAGGAGCCCCACACTTCTCCGAACGCCGGCTCTAACCTCACCACCACCACCACCCGAAACTGCATCCACAACCGTCAAATATCTTACTCCGTCAGCGAACTCCCCATTCCCTGGCGATACGCGCATCTTTACTTGCCACTCTCGCCTCAATCTCACGCCCTCTCACTTAACTCATCCTCTCAGCCAAATTCGCAGCTCCATTCCCCCCATCCCCCTCACCATCATGGCCACCAACAACAAAGCACACCTTCTCCCGCCGTCCTATAAAACCCAAATAACCGCCTGGTTGGCCGAAGACACCCCCTCCTTCGACTACGCGGGCTTCGTCGTCGGAGAGACGCCCCGGCGCGCAACGCTCCTCGCCAAGTCGGCCGGCATCCTCGCCGGCGTCCCCTTCTTCACCGAGGTATTCGCCCAGACGGGCTGCAGCGTCGAGTGGCACCACGCCGAGGGCGCGTCTCTCGACCCGTCGTCCTCGCCAGACGGCAAGATCAAGGTCGCCACCGTGACCGGCCCCGTGCGAGGCATCCTGCTCGGGGAGCGCGTGGCCCTCAACACGCTCGCCCGCTGCTCCGGCATCGCCACCCAGTCGCACCGCGTGGTGTCGCTGGTCCGCGGGGCCGGGTACACGGGCGTCCTGGCCGGCACGCGCAAGACAACTCCCGGGTTCAGGCTCGTCGAGAAGTACGGCATGCTGGTGGGCGGCGCCGACAGCCACCGGATGGACCTGAGCGCCATGATTATGCTCAAGGACAACCACGTCTGGAGCAGGGGCAGCATCACCGACGCCGTCAAGGCCGCCAAGGCCGTCGGCGGCTTCAGCGTCAAGGTCGAGGTCGAGGTGCAGAGCGAGCAGGAGGCCGACGAGGCCATTGCCGCGGGCGCCGACGTCGTCATGCTGGACAACTTCACCGGCGACGGGGTCCGGGTCGCGGCGAGGGCCTTGAAGGAGCGCTGGGCGGGGAGGAGCTTCCTGTTGGAGGTTTCGGGGGGCTTGACGGGCGACAATGTGGAGGCGTATGTTTGCAATGGTGAGTTTTACGTGTTGCGTTTGTTTCTGCCTCTTGTCTATGTTCGTCATGTTGGGTTGATGAGCCATGCTGACCGTCCAGACGTGGACATTATTTCAACCAGCGCCATCCACCAAGGTGTTCCGCACGTCGACTTCTCCCTCAAGATTGAGCACTGAGCACCTGCTCCAGGGGACTGTAGATGGGGGGTATCGTCACTCTGTTGAACTATTCAAACCAAATGTATACTTGTAAATCCTAGCGGCTGTGCAGTCTTGTCTGTTACGTGTGCTTGACCAGCATCTCGGTACCCGGCGTAAAATGCCCTGTTCATGATCTATGTGCCATTCCTTACTAAACTTTGAACCCTTCACACTTTGAGCGAGGCCAGCTCTTACTTTCCCCGCTAGTAATGAAGCCCCTGGATCCTTCTACGCCGAAGCACTCCCGTTGCCGTTTGCGACACGGTTGGTCCCGCAACACGGGACAAGCACACTCGACTCATTCTTCTTGGATGGAACATCAAGGGCAGGGTTTGCCTCGAAAAAGTCCGTGGGGCGGAGATGAATCTGGTACATCTCCATGGGCCTGTTTATTGTTAGAGAGCGCGTGTGAGCAACAACCGATGTCGTGGGAAAAAAAAACGACTTACATCACAGGCCAGTCCTCCACCCTGGGGTTATGCGTGAAGCCATACACGGGCCAAACCACAGGCGAGCTCTTTTGCCCGTGGCCGCCGTGTCCATTCGTGCCATTGGACCCATTGGCGCCGCTTGGTTTCCCTTCCTCCGTGAACCAGTCCCCCCGGCGAACCATGTCGCCGACACCTCCGGCCTCCTTGCGGCTCTGGTTGGTAAACTCGCCCGCGACCCAGAACTCGCCATCCCGGTAACCGGTGACCCAGGCGTTGTGCCGCGCAAACTGAGCACGCTGGCAGTGGATGCTCTCCTCGTCCGCCAGCATCATCTGGGTAGCGGGCGCGACGAGCTTGTAGGCCAGGTTCTTGCCCGAAATGGCATTCTTCTTGTTGGGGTTCTCCAGCTTCACGGTCCGGTTCAGGCGCGGCTCCGCGTCGACATGCGTCGGCCTGTCGACGACTTGGCGCCTGACCTCGTACAGGTTGCCGTAGGGGTTGGTCTCGGGGTTCTTCCCGACGCCGTGGCTCTCCTCGACGACGACCCGGCTGCCGCGGTACGAGTCGATGGCCGGGTCGACCCGGGCGGCAAAGATGTGCTGGTGGTTCTGGGCCAGGATGCCGGGGGCCACCACGCTGCCGTAGTCGCTGGCCTTGCCCTCGTCGATGGCCACGATGCTGACCATGCCGGTGGCGCGCGTCTCGAGGGTGACGCCCCCCGCCAGGTCGAGCTTGAAGGCGAAGATGTACTCGTAGTTGGCGAGGGTGCAGACGAACTGCACGACCAACTCCCGGGCCCGCGCCACGACGGCGTTGTTGGTCCGGAAGTTGGTGTGCTTCCAGAGGATGCCCCCGTCCTGCTCGTGCAGGCAGACGACCGACTTTGCTGGCGTGGGCGATCCGTCGGGGCCGCTGAGCAGAGAGTCGACGTAGTGAATGGCGCCGAGGCAGTCGCATCCAAGGGTCAGGTTGTTGGCCATGCGGCCGACGCCGCCGTCGCCAAAGTCAAACGCCTGCTTGCGGTGGAACGGGGGCCGGGGGTCGCCGTAGGGGACGGTCAGCTCGGAGAAGCTGAGGCGGTAGAAGACCGGGCGGTTCTGGTAGCAGACGTCGTGGAGGACGGCGCCCTCGCGAGGCGTGAAGCCCAGCCGGAACCGCCATTTCTGCCACTCGACGAGGCCGTCGTCTTGGACGGCGAAGGACGCGCCCTCGGGCTGGACGACGTTGAGGGGCTTCAAGTCGCTCCGCATCGGCTGCTCGAGAAGCTCGGGGATCCATTCTGCCGGTTTGGAATTCTCAAACAGCTTCTTGGGCTTGTCGCTGCGGGGGACGGGATGCAGACCGTCGTCACTTCCGCCGGTGGCCAGTCTGTCTACTCGGATCACCTTCTTGGTGACCCAGTCCATGACGGGGATGATGGGAACGGGATAGCCATAGTGGTTGGTATCGGGGTGGTTCTTCCTCGCGTCGTGGGCAAACACGAGACCCTGCATTAGCCTGGGGTCATCGTCCTTGTCTGACGGGCCATATGGCCACGGATCGATACTGAGCTCAAAGCCGTCGGGGAGAGCGAATTCGGTCATGGCCTCCTTGAACGTTTCTGACGCCATGCAGTGGTCAAAGAACTGGGCAAACTCATCACTACGTGGAAGCTCATGTCAGCGGTTCAATTTCTGCCGAAGCCGATAGACTGTAAACTGAAAATATTACTCACGTGGTAAAGTAGGGGTACGAATTAGGTGACGCGGTATCGCTGCTAACCACCTTTGCAGCTCCCAAATCGACCACGGCCCTCACAAGCTCATGTCTATCCGCCTTGATAATGTCATACTCGACATGAGCCTGTCTCGCTGGCCGAGGCGTATCGGCCGTCAGACTCCCCGCATGCTCAGCTTCAAGGTACGGAATGAGGCATTCCTTGCTCGGCTCCTCGAGATTAATCTGTCTAAAGTACAGGGACTGAGAGGTACCGTACTGCTTGACAATGATGTCTCGCGCCTCGGTGAACTCGTCGGCAGAGAGCTGTGTCAGCGGATGGGGGCCGGCAGCCATGGCGGGGTTGGGGTGAACCGTCATGGCAGTTTGTGTTCTTGGTTATGGTTGGTCAGATGCAGGTTGGTATCACAAGTAAGCAGAGGACAACTCAAGCTGAAATCTAGCAGCCCAGGTACGTGGTGGTACGGGGGGAAAGCACACCTTTATGTAGGATCACTGACCCGGTCAGAATAGAAGCACCAGACATGCGCTGGTACAGACATGTAAGCTCGGGGTGGGGCATTTCAAGCACTTGACCCCAACGAGAGACATACATGCCGGGCAAGTTGGACAATACGCGTGATGGAAGCTTTCTCCAGCCAAGATACGGCTTCAGCCGGCCGTCAGCTCCGCGTCGATTACACATGGGCTGCCCAGTTGTCGTGCTCCTGCTTGACCAGTCTGCGGTGTCTGAGTGGTCAAATTGGGAACACACGGGATCACCTGCTGTCTCTGCTTAAGGTCAAGCGGCGTTTATTGGATGGTGTTGTTGCTCGGTCTTTACCTAGTTTGGGCATTGGCATACACCATGAACCGTAAAAGTATCGATTTGGAGATGAGGATGACCAAGCCGAGACTCGTCGGAGTAACTCTCCTGGTTGTTTTGGGAAACGCCACAGATTAGGCTTAGATGGCGTCGCTTCACGGTTCTGACTGGTGACAATGAAATGGTTATTGGAAGCTTGAAGCACGAAGCCTATGTGTGCTTTGATGGACATGTACTCCGTGGATACGTGCTCTCTGTATCGGATATCGCGGTATTAATATTCAGCCAAGGTGATTTCCACTGCCGTCCGTATCGTGTCGAATACAGCACAAAAAACACACAGTACACAGCCAATTCTCAAAAAATTACCAGAAGCAGCAATGCAAAGCCACCAGACCGTTGTCCTCTAGGTGTCCTGTGACCCCGCACTAGACGACCCGTGGCGGGTACCGGAGCGCCGCTAGCCGCGGGGATCGACTCGAGTCCGGCGCCGGACCGTTATCAGGCACCATTGATGGTCCAACCATGTCCAATTGACAGTTTGGGCCTGATAGGCGGCGCGCAACATGACTATTGATGTTACATACACATGGCTGGCGGCCAAGTGTCGTCGGCTGATATGCACAGCCGGCCGGACAACAGGCATTCGACCAACTCACCGAGTCTGGACAAACGGATGTTATCTACGCCTTTCTGGTTACCGG